CAAATCCATGGCTTCTTTTTTCATTAATTGCTGTTGCACGCAAACGCACACGCACACGCACACACACACACACACACACACCACATATTTCTAAATACATAAAACAACTTTTTCTCAGTCTGTATAATATTATTTGTATGTGTGTTTTCAGGGTTGACCATTTGGTGCTGGATAGCCCACTGCTGTGCTCTACCTCGGGGGACACTATTTCTCCTCCCTCTTGACATTTGTTAATTGTCGGTAGTTCTTTGTGTCGGTTTGAGGCCTCCTGGGCTCCCCCCATGCCCACCCCCATGTCCTTGTTAGCATGTCTTGTGTTATATCCCGGTTCTATTCATATTCTGGCAATGAGACTTTATGCCTGTAGCTTCCCGTGTTCCTAGGAGACAATTTAACAGCAAACTCTATGACCCGCTGCCTCTCACACTCTTGCTGCTCTTCCTGCCACTGCGGTCCCTGGGCCTTAGGTGGGGAAGTGATTTGTAGATGTATCCATTGGGTCTGGACTCCACAGCTCCGCATTGTGATTGGTTGCGGTTTTCTGTGGTTCTCTGTCTATTGCCAAGAGAAATTTCCTTTGGAGGGGTGAGGACCACACTTATATCTGAAGGAATTTATTTTAACTCCCAGAACGTGTCCCTTTCTCAGTGACTACCAGCTCCCAAGCCTGCCTAGCCTTCAATGCCTGCAGAAGGGAGGGATGTCACATCTTCCATTTTCAGATAATCTGTTTTTAGCAAAGCCGGACGCAGAATTGTATCTGGGAATTTGGGCCTGTGGCCTTGGGCTAGACTGCAGGGCCTCCCCGGTCTCCTGCCCCTCCTTTGCCTAGTCTTTGGGGTCCTGGGCCTGGTGAATTCTCCCTCTGCCCCCTGCCTGCTCCTCCTGCACCCCCACTGGCCAGGCAGAGCTGGGATGGCAATTTTACAGTGTTGTTATTACTTCATTGTTGCCCACATTGGGCCCCACAGCCACTCCGTGCTCAGGCCAGACCTTTCCAGAGAAACGGCTTCCTACACCTTTACAACGTGAGAGGAAAAAAGGGGCCGTTGGATTTATGGAAACTATATAAAGTTTATGGAGTCTTGGCAGGCCCGAAGTAGGAATGCCTGCAGGAGGGGGCCACATTTTGAAATGGAGACTGTCGTGCAAGTGTAGTGGGCCTCTGTCGGGACACCAGACAAAAATCCCTAAGTTCAGGGTGTGCTGTGTGAGCCAGGGGCCAGGGAAACTGACCTAAAGGCTGCAGCTGCCAGGGACGATCTCAGGGTGACCTCCTGCGCTCCCGTAGCGTTCCTCGGAGGTGGACACGGCTGTCCTCGTTCTGTAGAGTGAGAACTTGGCCCAGAGTTGTACAGTGTGCCACGAAGTGGTTGTGCGGCTGTCTGGAGTCCCTCAGACTCTCTCCTGTGGATTGGGTGATGTGTCCCAGTTTCGGTTTGGAGCCTGTCCGCTCTTTGTGATTGTGTCTGACTGTCCCCTGCTAGCCATCAGTTCTCACCAAACCCCTCCTGTAAAAGATGATTTATGCTCAGCTTTCCCCACAGGGATTGTGGGGGACAGAAGCAAAGCCATCTCAAGGCTGGTTCTGAATCAGAGCAGGGTTTGAATACATACACAGCCTGAGTCCCTTTGTGTCCCACTTCTCCTGTAGGCCCCGAGAAGAGTACCCTATGGGATGCAAAGTCAGCCTTCTCCATCCCTATAAGCCTGGCTCTTCTGCTCCGTTCTCTCTTTCACTTCTACCACATACCCTCTTTGTTTCTCCCTCCCACTTGCGGGGATTCTTCGAGTGCAGATTCTGCGAATACTTAATTCTTTCTTGCTGGTTTTACCCACAGGGCCTGGCATTGTTCCAATGTCTAGTCATCTTTGTATAAATATCAGCTGGGAGTGTGGATGGGCGGGTGTGTGGATATGGATGGGCAGATAGATGGCTGAGTGGGTAAGTGGATGCCATGTTGGGCAGGTGGATAGGTGGGGAGGTAGGTGAAGGGCAGGTGAAGAGATAGATGGAGGAATGGGAAGAGGTAAGTGGTTGGTTGAGTGGAAGGATGAATGGGGGAGGTTGTGTGCTTGCAGATCGACGGGTAGGTGGGAAGATATGTAGGACATGAACACCCGTGTTCACGTCTGCATCCCCACATGCAGTTAAGCTGTGAGTTCTCACTCAGCCTTCTTACTAAATGCTTCTCTGTTTCGGGGTCTGGGCTTTGCTCTCTCTGAGGCCAGCTGGAGAAGCAAACCTAGGTGTTTGAATGTGTGTGTGTAAATACTTTACAATCCCCATAAACTTGTTTAAAGACAGATGGGGGTGAAAGTATAAACTCGGGCAGCCTTTGGGGAGGGCAGTTTGGAAGTGGCTATTAAAATTTTAAATGTGCCTACCACTAAGACCCAGCAGCCCCACTTTGAGCCGTCAAGGATGAGAAATGCATTTGCTGGCTTGTGCACAAAGAGCTGTGTGCCGGGGTGCTGGTGCAAAGCTGCCCATGGGTGTGTCATTCCTATTAGTGGCAGATGGGAAGTAGTCACGGTGTCCTTTGAGCAGGGCATGGCAACCCAGTAAGTACCCTGGAAAACTTGAGCCACCAAAAAAGGACACGACAGATCTAGGTCCAGAGGTGGACATTTCTGAGCTGGCACTTGAGATGGGCCGCTCCTGCTCTCAGGAGTCTCTGGGCTTCCGGGACTCAGTCACCTCAGCAAGTGCCTCCTTGTCTCAACTCTTACTGCTGTCCACCGTTCCTTTCCCTCTCCCGGAAGCACAGCCTGCTGGGATCAGAGCTTTAAATGGCATGCCTACTTGTCAGTGATCTTCTTTAGAGAAGGAGACAAAAGGAGAGGAAGGCAGTCACATGCATAATTGCTGTCTGCTGGCTCTTCAATTAAAACGCACGAAAGGCACAATATTAAAATCTGATTTATGGGTGCCACTATCTACCTAATCATGTGGCCAAGGGCCAAAAAAGCACTGTAGTCGTTATGGAAAAGCCAAAGCGAAGCCTTATTCTCCAGCAGCACACAAATTGGCTCTCATTTTCTCCTTGCTAAAGGAGTATGAAGTGTTTTCCGGCGTCTGTAGCATGTTCTTCTACTGTGCTGAAACCCAGAGCTTAGTAATCTGCAGGTAAATTAGGAGTTGTCTGCCTCAGCACCTCAGGGACATTTCCTGAGAGGCATGGTGGCTGGACACCGAGGTGCCAGCCACTGTAGGCCACCATGCGTCAAGATACAGATTCTAGTGCTGTGACCCTCAGAGGTCCACAACCTAGGTCTTCCATGGGTCTGAGATGGGGAGGACCACAGAGCTCAGGAGGGAGGGGGAAGAAGCGTGGGGCATTTAGCCCCAGTTTATTCATCTGTTAAGTGAGTGTGTGTGGCCGTGCGCGTGTAAAACGTGTGTGCATATATAAATGTGTGAGTGTCATGTATAAAACATGTGTGTATATATTTTATATATGTGTGTGTGTGTGTGTGTGTGTGTGTGTGTGTGTGTAGGGTATGTATAAAAGGTGTATGTGGGTAAGTGTGCACCCAGGTGTGCACATGTGTGCACATGTGCACATGATATCTTCTTCTGTTGCTCTCCACTCTGTCTGAGACATAATCTCACTGAACTTGAGGCTTGCTGTCCCATCTCAACTGGCTGCCCAAGGGCCCCCAGGATCCACCTTCCTCTGATTCTCCAGACTGGGGTTGTGGAAATAAACTGATGCACCTCGCTTTTACACAGGCACCAGGGATTTGAACTCAGATCTTCATGCTTACAGAGCAAGCATTTTACCCACTGAGCCATCTCCTCCGGCCCTGCTCAGTGAATTTCTTAGGAGTCCTTGTTGCTGTTACTGGTTATTAGGAGAGACAGAGCTGAAAACACACTTCCCATCTCCAGGACAACAGCGGATGTGGAGCAGTCCTGAGATGATTCCCAGCTCTGTTTCCTCTCGTCCATCCTTAGGACAGTTTTTCCTTAGCAGGGACAGGGTTTATAAGGTCTCAGTTTACTAAACAAATGAACAGAAGTGGCCCAGATCGTAACTGATGGGTGGCAGTACCCCCGCACAATGAGCACTTCTTACTAAGGAACATCGTGAGGGAGTGCTGTCCCCTGCTGTCCCCATGGTTTAGGGCTGTCCATTCACCACGGCTAGGCAGCAGGTGCCTGCAGAATCTTCTAGTCTAGCTCTAAAAGTGAGAGCTACAAAACTGGGCACGGAGACACATGCAGAACTCTGGAGGCCGAGGCAGGAGTTGGAAGCCATCCTAGACCCTATATCAAAAACACTTGCTGTATTACCATGGTATGCAGGACCCCAGGTTACCTCCATGAACTTGGGAGTGGGCCTCTCATCCTCAGCTTGCTGAGTGGAAGTAGTGGGGTGGGAGACAGGCCTGAACACAAGGCACAGGAAGGTGACAGGGAGTCTGACCCTAAGGCTGGGAGACTATTTCTTCAACACCCCAGCACATCCTGGAGCTCCCACCCGAATCCCTAACACTGTTTTATCCCAGCCTGGGAAGGAGACAGGTGCTCAGGGATTGGAGATGCACTCCACTGTGTCTGCCTTTCCCTGGGTTCTGGGCTTCCTAATTCTGGCCCTCACGCTTGCCTGGCAAGGGCTTTATCCACTGAACCATCTCCCCATCCCACGGCTCTGAACCTCTACCTCTAGGCACCTATGTGGATTCAGTGGATTGTGTGACCGCGGCACTTCCCACCAGAGCTTATTTGCCTTCCAGCCAGGGGGCCGAACACTCAAAATCAGCCTGAATTCATGGGGTTACGTAGAGGCTCAATCTTGGGCTGGAAAACTGGGATCAGGTACTACAGAAGCCCCCGGTGGGCCCCTTCTGTGAAGGATTCTGCTCATGCCAGGGACCCTGCAGGGTTCAGTCTGCCAGCTGTCCATATGGAATTTCCCCGGAAAGAGGGGAGGGGGCAAGATTTTGCCCACGTTTCTTCTGCTCTCTGGCTAACGGCATTTCTTTGTTTGCAGTTGAGAGGGAAAATGTGCAGAAGAGGACTTTTACGCGATGGATAAACCTACACCTCGAAAAGGCAAGTGGGGGGTCTGGGAGTGGGTAAGTGACAGATTCGCCTGCAACTACACTGGTGGTTCTGTAGGATGGCAGGGAGGCGACATGACCCCCGCCCCGTGTGTGTGTGTGTGTGTGTGTGTGTGTGTGTGTGTGTGTGTGTGTGTGACTTTGTGTACTGCAGAGTATGTATGTGTGCGGACATGTCTATGTTCACGTATGTAAGTATGCTGAAGTCAGAGGACAACCTTAGGTGTCCGTCCTTGCCTTCCAGCTTATAGAGACAGGGTCTCTTGCTCACTGCTGTGCACACCAGACTAGCCATCCCATGAGCTTCTGTGGCTTTTCCCCTTTCCACCTCCCCTCTCAACTGAGGTGCACTGGGGTTACAAATGCGCGCCGCCACATCTGGGTTCCAGGTGTCGGAATGCTGGTCCCCGTCCTTCTATGACAAAGGCTTCATGCATCGTCCCCACCCCATGGCTCTGTGAGTTTGTGTCTTCATGGGGTCTTCTCACTGCTGTCCACATTCAGTATGTGAAGCAGACACAGAGAGCAGACACAGCTGTTCTGTGATTACCCACATCGCCGGGGAGGAAACCTCATGCGTGGACAACGGACGCTATTCCATGTTGAGCAATTCCAGGGCTTCCATGGGCAGAAGGCCATCACCCCTCCACCTCAAACACGATCCAGCTGCCCACGCTGGGGTTGTTAGCTGCCGTCAGTAGCCATTTGAACTGATGTGAGCAAGAGCTCTGAACATCCTTTAGCAAAGCCTCTTTAACATAATTGGTGAAGAGCCATCCTCTGTATCAGGCCACACACTGCCAGGTCCCCTTGAGTCCTTCCACAGCCCACAGTAGACTGTGAGAATGAGGACCTAGGTGTCCAGACATCCTAAGCTTCCCTGAGCTCTTCTACAGCGTCTCAGAGGCTCTTCTCTTTCCCTCACTTTCTCACGTTCTTTGACCATGCAGCTTGACTTTTCCACTGTGTCTTCTGCACACCCATAGCGTCAAGGCAGCTGATGCCGTCTCGGGCGGGAGGAGCTGAGGAGGAGAGCAGGTGGACAGTGCTCAGTGAGCAAAGGAAAGGAAGCCTGCAGAAATGCGAGCTCCCTGTGCCTGTGAGACTGGACCTGTAGGCCCCGGGAATATATTATCCCAAGTTTCCTGAGGCCTGCAACAAAATTCACACTTCAAGAAAGCTGATCTGTGGAGCTGAGGATGGGGAGCGGATGGGAGAGTGCTTGCTTATCCACAAAGCCCTAGATTTCACCCCCCAGCACCGCATCAGCCAGCTCTGGTGGTACCCACCTGTAATCCTGGCAGTTTGGGAGATGGAGGCAGGAAATGAGAAGTTCAAGGTTGTCCTTGGCCAGCCTGGGCTACATGAGACTACCTTGGGAGAAAGCCAGATGATTTGATGTTTCTTGTACCAACACCACCTCTTCTCCCCTATGGACATTCTCTTGTTCTCCGTCTACCCCACCCCACCCCCGCCTTACCAGTCTCCCCTGTCTTCTGGAAGCTGGCTGTCTCACCGCTGTAAGAAATTTAAAGTGTTTCTCTCCTCTTCAAAGGTAAAAGCGTAACCAGGTAAAGCCTGGCGCAGTGGTTCTCAACCTGTGCATTGCACCCCTACCCCCACCCCCGACCCCACGTGCTTGGTTATTGAATGACCCTTTCACAAGGGTCACATATCAGATATCCTGCATATCAGATGTTTATATCATGGCTCATAACATTAGTAAAATGATAGTTATGAAGCAGCAGTGAAAATGGTTTACGGTTGAGGGGTCACCACAGTATAAGAAACTGTATTAAAGGGTCGTAGCGTTAAGAAGGGTGAGGCCCACTGGCCTGGAAGGAACTCGTGCAGTTATGAGAAAGCAGGAAGTGGAACTCCTGACTGAGGCGGTTCTCTTTCACACTTGCCTGTGTCCTGAGCAGGCACGTGTGTCCCGCCCCTCCCGAGCCCCCGTCCCTCCTTCAGCATGGATAACATGGTGCTGTCACATCACCCATGAACATCTTAGGCACGAGGTGGAAAACGACAAGGGATCACACTCGAAGCATGATAAATCCTCTGCTGGTTGTTTTGACTGAGGGCACAGTTTTGGCATTGCTCATAAAGGAAAACATTACTGGGGTATCGGGAGGACAACAAAGGAAAGCCAGTCCCCAATCTTAAGCTTGGCGAGCCCCTAAATTAATGCCTGATGCATGTCGGCCTGCTTGAGAATTCCTAGCAGGGGACAGGGTAGAGCCAGAAAGTCTTTCTTTTTATAGTAAAAATAAATAAATACTGAAAAGAGCAGAGAGTTGTGTAACAAATGCCCCACACTTACCTGCCACCCAGTGTGAACCTCTTTGAACATGCGTTTGTCATGTCAAGGACACGCTTTTTGGCCAGGCCTGTTCTTGTCCCTTTTTTTGGGGGGGGGGCAGGTGGGTAACATGTACCCCCCTTTTGAGGAAAAATCAGACAGCACCTGAAAGGAATGTGTAATAAGCAGAGAGAAATTAACGGCCCTGTTTCCAGCCCCGAGACTTTTAAAAACAGCCTTTCATGCAAAGGAAACCTAGGAAGTCCTTGGTGAATTGGGCTTAACTGCAATTTGAAGGCTGTCAGGAATATTTACTGAGTCTCTGGCTTCTGGAAAAATTCCTTAATTTACAGAAGGAGTTCGATCATGCAGAAAGCCCTGGGGAGGTGAGGGGTACTGTGGTTCCGGCCGTAGCAGACTCCTGAAGCCTGGGGAATGTTGGTCCAGGGAGTGTTTGGACTGGAGTGGTTTCAGCCTAACCCCCTGCCGTCCAGCGGTGGACTCTGGCCAAGGTCCTGTTTGATGCAGAGGCCCTTCCAGGAACAGCCGATGGAAATTAGCCACAGGTCAGGTTCTACCCCTGTCAGGCGGCTAACTGGAAATTTTGTTAGCCCATTCATCAGGGGTGTTTGGTTGGGGTCTCCTAAAAGGAAGCAGTCTGCCAGGCTTGGAATGTGGCTGAGGCTGCAGGATTTGCAAAGAAAACACATTGCCTCTTGGTTCAAACTCCCTGAAACCCTTGAAGCGTGCCCTTTTCTGTGCACCTGTAGATAGCCTCATCCTATATTTTGGCTAACTGGGGCAGGAGACTAGGACTCGTATAAAGGGTGAGGAAATGCCACCTTCCTTAACCAGTAAAACATGATCCCACCAAGGGGCCACGATGGAAGGAAGCTTTTCCAGAGGAGAAGGTACTGGCCCAGCTAACATTGTATTGAGATTTTCCTCACCCCCGGGTGTGTGCTGGGAAGAGTTGCCACTGCCCCAGTTAGCTAGAAGCACTGCAGCATCTCATTGTCCCTGAGGGTTCATGAAGCATCCAATCACTCCCTTAACCTGGACTAAAGGTAAGGGAAAATTCTGGCCGCAGGAGCTCAAGAATGCAGGCTTCTGACCCACTGTTGGGTGGATCTCCATTGCATTCATTCTGACTGTTGAAGGCCAGACTCAGGACACCGGATTTTACCAAATAGCTATTTGATGATCGCCCAGCCTCCTAGCGCCTCCCTTTCCCCAAATCAAAAGTGAGTGTTTGCACTAGGTAATTTTCCATGAGCCCTAACAGAAGTCGTGCGTGCGTGTGTGTGTGTGTGTGTGTGTGTGTGTGTGTGTGTGTTATTTTGATGGATATGCTGATGTTTGTAGATGGGGAGAATATGGGTGCCTGTGGAGGCCAGAGGTTAACCTCAGTTGTGTTTTCTAAGAAGCCACCCACCTTGTTGTTTTGTAGATAGCATCCCTTACTGGGTGGGACTGGGGCTCACTGATTCAGCGAAGCTGGTTGACCAACAAGCTTCAGGGGTCCTCCTGAGTCAGCCTCTCACCATTGTGATAACAGCTGTCTATGTGGGCATTGGGGGCTTGAACCCAGGCCCTCATGCTTGTGCAGCAGCGGATACTTCTCCACTGAGATATCATCATCCTGGACCCAAAATTCCTTTATGCTTTGAAAACATATGGGATGTACCACTTCTTACTCTCCTCAAACAGATGCCTGATTGTGATCCAGCCTTGGGATCTGAGATCTCATGTTAGGGGGGCCTCAAAAGCCTCTTAATTAGTTCCTTTATTCCGCTCTACACCTGTGGCCAGAGGTCCCTTCCAGGACGACGGACTTCTGGCTCTCAGGTGATCCTTCTGCCTGCAAGTTTCTCTCTCTCTTTTTTTTTCAAAAGATAATTTATTTAACTTTATCTTATGTGCATTGTTGTGAGGGTGTCAGATCCCCTGGAACTGGAGCCATAGAATTCTGCGTGCTGCCATGCGGGTGCTGGGAATTGAATCCTGGGCACTGCTGGAAGAGCAGCCACTGCTCTTAACTGCTGAGCCATGTCTACAGCCCTGCAGGTTTCTCTCTTGACCACCCAGGTCACTCACGGGTCTCTTTTCCTCCTGTCCTACAGTGTGACCCACCTCTAGAAGTTACGGACCTTTTCATTGATATCCAAGATGGCAAAATCCTAATGGCTTTGCTAGAAGTCCTCTCCGGGCGAAATCTGGTACGTGTGTTGGGGAAAGTACAAAAGGAAGTACTTCGTAGGCTTCATCTTCATCTGGGCATCAGCTTCGCGTCACTGTGACAAAGTGCCCAAGTCAACTGTTTAAAGGAAGAAGGGTTTGTTTGGGCTCGTGGGTTCGGAAGTGGCTATGGCCACTTGGTCCTGTTGCTTTGGGCCCGAGGAAAGACAGACCATCACAAGAATGTGTAGCAGGGAAGCTTTTCCTCTCATGTCAGCAAAAAGAAAGGGACCAGGGATTCCAAAATTATCCTCAAGGGCACAACTCCAAAGACCTGACTTCCTCCCACCAAGCCCCACCCACTAAAGGTTCCATCACCAGCCGGTAGCCGCATAGCCTGGTGTGTATAGGCCAGCAGCACCTGGAGTCTTCAGTGTGTAGATCTTGGGGGAACAACCCAGATGTAACCGTGACATCGGGAATGAATGTATGCACACATCCAGACAGTGTGTACCTCAGCATCAGGAAATGCTGAAGGTGACAGTCCTTTATCATGAGAAGTGTGAGACTGGTGGGATTGCTCAGTAGCTAAGAGCACTTCCTACTCTTACGGGAGGACTCGAGTTCTCTTCCCAGCCCCGACATCAGACAGTCACAGTGACCTCTAGCTCCAGCACCAGAAGGTCCCAGTGCCCAGTACTCTTCTCTGTCCTCTGAGGGCACCTGCGCACATGTGACAGACATATATGCATAAATAAATTTAAAATAAATAGAGTGGTAGGAGAGCTGGAGAGATGACTCAGCGGTTAAGAACACTGGCTGCTCTTGAGGAGGACCCAGGTTCGATTCTCAGCACCCCATGGCAGCTCACAACCATTTGTAACTCCAGTTCAAGTTACAGATGCCCTTTTGTGACCTCTGCAGACACTATACACACATGGTACACATGCATACATGCACTCATATACATGAAATAAAAATAAGTGAAGCTTAAAGAAAATGAGTTACATATGAACATATGTAACTGAGTAGTATCTTTTTCTCTTATTATTTTATTACTGTGTATTTGTGCACACATGTAATAGTGTGTAGTGGCTATGGAGAGGTCAGAGGACAGCTTGAGGAAGTAAGTTCTTTCCTTCCATTGTGGGTTCCGCGGATTGAACTCAGGCTTACATGACAAGCATTTTTGCCTGCTGAGCCATCTTGCTGACCTGTACCTTTTCAGTTGTTTGCTTTTAAAGCAAACCTATGTTGTTAGGTAAATGCCCAGTGTTTTCAGTGAGCCTATGATGGTTCAGAATTGAAACTGAAGGATCAAGTTACTGGACTAAGCGTTGTGTTAACTGGAGTTGCGGTTGAGATTTAGGGAAAACCATCCATGGTTGTTGGCTAAGAAGAGGTAACTTCTCAATGCTGGAAACACCTGTTAGTATAGTGACCCAAAATGTTCCCAGGCATTGTCGGATGTGTCCCCTCTTCCCCCACAAGGTGGCAAATGATCCAGTCCAAGATGCCTGTCACAGGGGCTGGGAAACGACTCAGCAGTTGACAGAGATTATGGCTCTCACAGAAGGCTGGATTTTGATTCCCAGGATCCACACCAGGTGGCTCACAACCACTTCCGCTGGCATCTGCACCTGTGCACACATGCCCACATAGACAACAATAAAATCTTCCTTCTTTTAGATGCCATATGTGTTTAAGTTGAGAAACTGGCTCAAACTTGAGTGTTTGATTTGACCTCGGTGGTCCTTCATGCCTGTCTGCACGTACAGTGACAGATACCGCATAACACAGCCCACGCTGGCTCTGGACCTGACTTTAAAAGCATGGCTTCTCTCCTGGCATGGTGGCACACTCCTTTAGTCCCGGCACTCGGGAGGCAGAGGCAGGTGGATCTCTGTGAGTTCGAGGCCAGCCTGGGCTACATGGTGAGTTCCAGGACGGCCAGGGCTGCACAGAGAAACCCTGTCTCGAAAACCAACCAGCCAACCAAACAAACACACAAACAGCTCTACTCCGATCTGCGTGGTTGAGGCCTGTCATCCCCATTCATACTCAGGAAGTAAAAGATGCCGTTGAGTGCGCTCAGGCCTGGAAGCTTTTCACAGCGGGCTGAGGCATTCTCAGCAGGTCTCAGTCAAGTTGCAGCATCCCCACACACACACCAAAGGCTTTGTAAGAAAGCACACTTCAGCCCCTTGTTCTGTGTTCCCGGTAGATGGACTCCCACTTTGAAGCCAGGGCACATGGCAACAACCTCCATGGCCTTGACCTTTGGCCCTGCAGCTCAGCAAAGATGAGTCCTCCGCTGCCCATCAGTAGAGCACAGTGGAATTGGCACGTGTGTGCTCTGGAGATGAGCTCGCTGTACACTCTGCGCAGAGCTCACGCTGGCAGGAATGGAGCTGCAGTCGGCAGCTGGCCATTGTGCATCCTCCCCAAAACCCCACCTGCAGAAGTTCTTAACCAGAAACCAGCCACATCTGCTGCTGCTGGGGAGCGAAGCCGAGCCGTGACGAGGACAGCAAGCTGGCTTCCCTAAGCAAAGAGTCACGTGTGCTATGAGAGCATGTTACTGCCGGTCCCTAGAGAGGGGGAGGGCTGGCGAGAACACTGAACACATTTGTCCCGTGTCTAGATTTCCTCTTCCCCGGCTCCAGTGAGTCAAGTGCCAGGATCCCAGTGTCACAGGGCATTTGGATGTCTCCTCTGTGGGTGTTTTTAACACCATCCCTAAATAAATGAAAGGCGCCCACTGTGGTCCTGGGCGCTTGCTCTCTTGCTGGCGCCTGCTTAGTGGTGTCTTCTCTTGTTTTTCAGCTGCATGAATACAAATCCTCATCACATCGTATTTTTCGGTTGAACAACATAGCAAAAGCACTTAAGTTTCTGGAAGATAGCAATGTAAGTGTTTGAAGCCCATCCATCCCGGCAACGCGAGCTTGTCCTGGGGAGAAAGGGCAGAATTTTCAAGTGTGGTGTGGTGGTGAGGGAAATATGGAAAGGCTTAAAAGCGGAAATAGCCAGCCCCTCCTGAGCTTAGGGTGAAGGGAAGTCACTCAGAGAAGCTACATTCTGGGATGTGGCCCCAATGTCCTGCCCACCCTGTTTGTGCCTGTGGATAGGCAATCCGAGAGAAGACCGGCAGCTGTTTGGTTTTTAGAGTTTTGGGGTTGATGGCTAGAGTATATATTGCCTTGAGGACATGGCGGTCAGTGTGGCAGAGGGAATGGCAGCAGTTTGGCTCTGTCATAGAGATTTCTGGATTCTGCATTTGGAACTGTTTCTTGTCCTTCACAGGTGGGAAGGGAAGGCCCAGGGGTGACAACCCTAAAGCCCTCTCTCACTAGGTTTGTTTCTGGACTGATCTGGGTAAAAAGTCTTCAGCTTCTCTGACCTGTTGACACACAGTGAAGTGCATTACCCCAAGATGTGGCTCCTTTGAGGTTCTGTGTGTAAGACAGGCTACATCTTAGCAGATAAGTGCGCTATCTTAGCAGAAAGGGACCTGGGTGAAGGATGTCCAGTAGCTCATGAAGGGACCCAGAGAGTCTAAGATGGAGCCTGGGGAAAGCCGGGTACTTGTATCATCTCAGAACCCGCTGAAGGGCAGGAAGAGGTATGACCTTGCTTTCCTGCCCTGCCACTTCCCGCTGCCCTGAGGGAGCCTGGGAAGGTGCCCACCACTGCAGCATCATCCCACACAAGATGATGTAGATGTCAAGTCTGGAGCTGAGCCACAGCCCAGATGCAAGTGGAATGGGGAACGCATTCACCACCTCAGAGGAGCTGGGCTCTGTCTCCCGGTCGCCACACAGTAGAGGAAGGTTCAGGGCGTGGTGACCACAAAACACCCCGGTGCACCTTGGGTATCAGAGCCTAAAGGTGGGAACAGACCAGGAATTTATCAGCTGACAGAGGATCAGCACTCCCATGGAATACTTGGCTGTGAAAAATAATTTGGTGCTGGGGTGTGTGATGGCGTAGGACCTCAAGCACAGGGTACAGAGTGACAGAGATGGAGTGGCGTTAAGAGCACTTCCTGCATGATTCCATCCATGTGACATCTCCGTGATGGAGAAATGGCTCTAGAGGCAGGAGATCAGCGGTGGCTTAGGCCTGGGGGAGGCAGAGGGATGCAGGGTGATGACTGATGAGTCCAGAAATCATGACTGGGGTCCACGGTGTACTGCAGTGGTGTTCACACAAGCCTGCAGACACACCAGACCCACTAAGTGGTCTTTAGGTGCTCCAAGTGGGCATCTTGAACAATGTCAGCCTCATCACAGTGAAGCCGTTTAAAACACAAGCCCTTCCCAGCATCACTTAAGGGCTCCCTCTTTGAGCTCAGGGACACTGTCAGCCATTACTTGAGTGAGGTTCAGCCTTGCCTTAGTGTGACTAGGCCTCAGTTTCCAATCCTGGCCTCCCCACTCACCTCTAGGGACTGTGGGGACGCCATGTACCTCTCTAAATAGAAGGATCCGAAACAGAACTTCCTTCAGAGGGCTGTCGAGGAAGTGGTGTGCCCACCCCCATTAAGGGCTGGGTGGCCATTTGCTGCCACTTCCGAGGGTGACTAACTTGTGACGCCGCTCACCTGTGTTCCATCGTTAGCATTTACTTTCCCAAAGTAGTGTCTCCTCTGAATTCCCAAGGAGCCTTATTTGGGAGAGGAGATGGGTGAGGTCTTCAAGCAACTGCCTAGGTTACCCCTTCTTCTGCCTTAGTTGACTGTGAGATGGTCTTCTACTGTTAATGCCACACGGGTGAGCCTGGTCACAGTTACCCAGGCACGTCCTAGGCTTCCATCTGAGTGTCTTGTGGGTCTGGGCTATACCTAGCATTGGGGAGAATCAGGTAATAAGTTATATAAGATGCCCATTAGCCTTGGAGATGGTTGGGGTCCAGAAGAAAGAGTGTTCACGTAGGCAACATACACTCCAAGGCCTGAAAAGATGATAAGGCTATATGGACTGAAGATCTGCATGGGGGGCTTTCCTGCCATGAATGGATCTAAGTACATGCGGTACCATGGGACAGCATGGCTGAGACTGAGAAGACCTGGCTTTCTGTACTCCACGTGTGAACATTTTCCAGGCTGTCTGCTCTAGCAGCCTCATAGCTGCTTGGAGCATTGACCCCATCTTCCCTTTAATTAATTTTTATAACAACGTTTAGAAGTGTCCCAACATGGATGCTTGTTAGCTCAGTCCCTCATTGGTTCCATTTCTCAGGCATGATGACCTAGGAGGAAGCTGGTGATGGAGAGGGGACAAGATAACATCCCAGAGGCGTGCTGTGTCCCATTTCCAGAATACACAGAATTACTTAGGGAGCCTTATTTGTCCCGCTTTGTGCCACTGCCTGGATTCCAGGAAGGGCAGGCTTCAGTGGCTCTGCTGAGTCCTTGGTGGCAGTGCCCAGAGCTGGGAAGTAGGTGCAGACAACAACCCAGCCTGCTGTTCTGGAGTCCCAGGACCAGCCGGGTATGCACCCTTCCTTCCATCCCTTCAACTGTGGATTGCAGATAACCTCACCATGGGACCAGCTCTGGAACCTCCACTAAGTTACTCAGGCCAAGCCTTGGCCTTGCCACCTCTGAAATGGGGACATTGTGAGAGCATTGGTGGATCTAACTTGGGAAGCCCCCTGCAGTAGCCGGTGCTCTGTAAGGGAAGCCATTGTCATGAAAGCTCCCAAGACAGCTCTCTCTCTAAACCTGCCGGCTCCCAGAACAGAAAGGATGATCACATAACCCAGTGGACTCATTAGTATTCAGTGTGGCAAAACAGGCTGAGTTGGGGAAAAGAGGAGGGGACACTGGCCCTGGAGATCTGAAGAGTGGTGATTTTATCGTCTGTCCATCCCCAAGAATGGAAGAAGGCTCTTGCTTCCAAGGAGGACTATACACTGGAGAGGAGGATGGTAGTTCCATAAGCACTTGCGGTTCACTGGACTGGGATGGTTTATAACCTGCAAACCGGAGGATGTTTCCAGAGAGGACGTGGGGGTAGGAGAGCAGACAAGAGAGCCTCAACAAGTGATTGGTTATGTGAAGCAAGTGATGGCAGAGGAGCCCGGACTGAATGTTGGCTCTGAGTTTGATGGCTTATGTTCCTCTCAGTATTGACAACTTCCTTCCTGGCCTCCAGTCTGCCGGCGATGAGCCCGTGTTGTCTCAATTACCTTCTTGGCAGCGACTGTGAACAGCCCATCAACTAGGGAGCTGGGCAGTCAGCCTCAATTAGGCTACCCCAGACCTAACTTGGGTTGTCAGAGCCCCCAATAAACCGATAAGATCAGAGACCTAAGCCAGAGCAGTTTAACAACCTATGATGGAGAGGGGGAGTGGAGAGAGAAACTGTTGGATGACAATGTCTCTACGTTTTTCCTTCCCCAAGTGTCCTAGGATGAAGTTTGCAGTGTGGGTTTTAAAAGGTTGCTCTGATTAGCTCACTTCATCCCCCTTGCCCCTGAAGGCAGCTATGAACATTTGGGAAGTGTTGCTCAACAAGGAGAGGAAACAGAAGAGAGACCTATCCAGCCTGCACAGCCTCGCTCACCGCACTCACTCTGTGGCCCTTTCCGGAGAGGTTGGCAGAAGGCTGAAGCGTGGAATCAGATGCTGTTCACAGAATGAAATGCTGACTGTAGGCGCTGGCCCTCCATCCTGAGCCCACACAGGAAACCCTATGTGTATTAAAATGCAGAATAGGCGTAGCAGGGTGGATCACGGGTCAAGGGTCAAACAGTTACTGCTTTAGACGACCTGAGTTCTGATACTTGATAGCTAAAACTTATATAAAAAATACAGGTGCAGTGGTTTGTGTCTGCACTTCCAGCCCCCCCCCCCAACCCCCTGAAAGGCAAGATGGGGACAGAGACAGGAGGACACCTACAGCTCATTGGTCAGCCAGTGTGACCAAATCAGTGAGTTCCAGGTCCATTGAGAGACTTTGACTTAAAATACCAAATCAGTCGGAGAGACAGGCATGGTGACAGACACCTTTAGTTCCAGTACTTGGGAAACAGAAGCAGACAGATCTCTGGGTTCAAGGACAGACTGATCTACAGAGCAAGCTGTAGGTCAACCAGTGTAATACAGCAAGGCCCTGTCTCAAAAAGATACATAAGATAAGATAAAGTAAGTAAATAAATAAAAATTTAAAACTACAGTGGAGGCTGATAGAGGAAGACAGGATGTCAGCCTCTAGCTTCCACATGCACAGACGTGAAGTGCAGACTGTGGGTGTCAGGGACATGCACCTCCGTGACTAGGTCCTTGGGATGCTGCAGGCTCATGGGCTGCAAGTAGCCTTAGGGGTTCATCGGGAACATCTTTGCATGGTCAGACACAGGTGAAATAAATGAGCCACCTTTGGGCAGTTTCTCAGGATGGTATGTAGAGCATTCTGTAGAGATGCAGGGTCCCTTGCTGTGGTGGGCTCACTATTTCTGTCTTTCTGGTGGCTGATGTTGGTGCTCTGAGTTGGTCAAGGGTGTGTGAAATCAGGGGGGTTGGTGGCATGCTTGTGACATACAGCCTTCCTGGGCTATTGCCCTCCCTTTTGGGCAGAGAATGGTAGAAACTTTGCACGTTTATGGCTCTGGGCAGATTGTATTTATCTGGGCATGTCAGTGCATGCCCTCCTGATGCACAGCGGTAAGGGAAGTGCCTATATGATAGGCTTGTGGTTGGGGTAAACTGAGTCCGTACTCATAAGTGCTTGTAAAGCTTTAGGGTGGCATTCACTCATGGTAAGCACTATATGTTTTTTATCAAATACAGTTTTACATATTGAGTGTCCCCCAAGAAGTTGTCTTTGGCAATGACAAATAACACTATGCAGTCAGCAGCGTCAGGCCTTGGATGGTGGTAGAGGTGGTAGATCCGACTCCTTGGGGTTTTGCGTTCATCGACTGCTTCTTTCCAGGTCAAGTTGGTTAGCATCGATGCAGCAGAGATAGCGGATGGCAACCCCTCGCTGGTTCTCGGGTTGATATGGAACATCATTCTCTTCTTCCAGGTAAACCTGCTGCTCTCTGGCACGTGGTTATCATGTTGAACATTGTTCTATGATGTCGAGGGACATCATAAGGCTTAGTTTCCATGGAGTCAGACTTGACCATTTTCTGAGTGAGAACCAAGATGTGGAGACTGAGGTTCATGGTTTAGATACAAAGGAGATCCACAAGGGGAGGGTTTCCAGGGGCTTTGGGGCTGCTGTTGTCCAGAGAGGTACATGTATAAGCACTGTTTGAAGCTATGGATTCCTTTCTGTCTAAGCCTTGAACTTGAGCCTCGGTTCCCACATCCGCAAATGCAGCAGTGGTCACCAGACATGCTCCATGTGAGAGTTTTGCCCGCTGTACCAAGTTTGCACAGGACTCGGTCACTCTAACCTGACTTCCTGAGAGATGCCGTGGACATCAGGAAATGTGTTAAGTGCCTTAAATTGACCCCAGAGCTTCCTTTGCTTGTTCAGTAAACATCTGTTGAGTTTCTTCAGTTTTGCAGATGCTAGAAAGACAAGACTCTGTCTTCTTGGGGGAGTCACAAAGACACGTGGATTCTGTCTTACTAGATAGAGGGTGTGGGTCACAATTGAGGTGTGAGCAGGGCTTTGTAAGAGCTCTGAGCAGGGACAACTACCACAAATGGGTGATCGGAATGAGGAAAACCTGAGGAAGTGACCAGATAGTGTTTTGCCATGTGGATAGGAGTGCGCGCTGAGCAATGCCTCTCAGATATACTGTGCATACGAGTTGCGGGGACGTGGTGCTGAATCTGTAGGGCAGGCCTGAGCTTCTGTATTCCCCACATGTCAATGCTGGAGGAAAGGGACAGCCAGTAACAGGCCCAGAGTGAACAGGGACAGTGAAACTTGAAGAAGCACGGTGCATTCTGGGAGTGCCAGGTTATAGGGGAACAGAGAGAGTCTGGTCAAAAGACGGGCATGTGTGCCTAGGCTGGTGATAGCCGCGGGAATCTCAGGAGAAGCTTCTCATATACTGAGAACCAGGTCTACACAACCTGGATTCTCCAACCAGGGTCTTGTGGATGCAGGTCAGAGCGATCTACTGGCCGGGGGTCCCTTGTGAATCACTGGGTCTGATTTGCCCTTTTCTCTCTAGATAAAGGAGCTCACGGGCAACCTCAGCAGGAGTTCCCCATCTTCCAGCTTGTCACCTGGCTCGGGGGGCACAGACTCCGACTCCTCCTACCCACCCACCCCCACCACAGAGAGGAGTATGGCAGTATCAGTGAAAGACCAGAGGAAGGCCATCAAGACACTGCTGGCGTGGGTGCAGCGGAAAACAAGAAAGTAAGCTGCAACCTCCCCCTCCCCACCTATCTCCTGCCTCAGGCCCACCGGTGTCCACCATGAGTACACCACACCCCATAAGGTTGTTTCCAGGCCCAGGGAGTAGTACACATGGACCTGGGTGGGTAAGGTGCATCAAACTCCATCTGCTAAGGTGCTAGGTATCCACGGGCCCTATGATTCACATAAACCATCAGAACAGGAATGTGATGTGTTTTTCCGGTGTGTGTGTGGTGTGTGCATGTGAGCGTGTGGGGCACGCACACACATGAGCACGTAGAGGCCAGAGCAGGCACCAGGTGTCTTCCTCTGTTTCTCTCCATCTTATTCTCATAAGACAAAGTATTACACCAAATCAGAAGCTTGCCATTTCCACTAGGCTGGCCAGCAAACTCCAGGCATCCTCCGGTCTCTGCTCCCCAGGGATAGGCTTACATTCACGGGCAGCTGTGCCTGGGTTTGTGTGTGTGTGCTGGGGATTCAGGTCCCCAGGTGTGTGCAGTCAGCACTCTTGCTATTTTCTAAGCCCAGTTATAGCCGTCTTCCGTCAGGTCTTTTACTGGCAGATCCTGGGCCTTCGTCAGAGGTGCCAAGTTAGTGTAGAGGAAGCCACACCCACTCGGGGACATCTCAGCTCATCTGTGTACAACCTAGGTGGTCGCTGCTGATGCCTCACTTGTTCAAGCTTCCCCTGTTGAGTGGCCTTCCAAGACAGTTGTGACAGAATTGGGGAGAGCAGCCGTACCTCCCCTGACAGCCACTTCATACATTTCTGCATACCTCCCAGGGACTGGGAAGAGGCTAGACCTTTGGGGAATTGAAGGAGGGAGTTGAGTGTGAATGATTAGCATAGGTTACTATGCAAAGACAGGAAATGTTTAAAAATAAATCAAGCCAAAGAGTTCATTGCCGGGGCCAGCGCGAGTGTGAAAGAGAGTTGGCAGCTGGGGAGGTGGGAGTGTTCTGTGGCCCCACTTTGGGTACCCGTGCGTCCCTGCACTTAGGCAAGTGCATGCAGCAGCTGGTGACTTTGGCTTAGTTGACAGTCCTACTGAAGATTGTCTGGATGACTGGCTAGGACAATGTACTCTGATCAGGTCACTGGGCCAAGGCTGGCACGAGCTCTGCCTAGGGAGTTTGTGACCTGTTAGGGGTCTGAAGTTACTTCTACACTGGAAACATTTGTAAGGTGTTAAATTTTTATTAATTCCATGAACATAATAAGACAACTTTAAAAGTTATGGTTTTCGGGCTGGGGAGATGGCTCGGTGATTAAAACACTTGCTGGGCAAGTATGAGGAAGAAAGTTCATATTTACAGCGTCTACAGGCTCGGCAGCCCATCTGTAATACCAGAGCTCAGAGGGATGAGACAGAGTGATCCCCAGGGCACATTGGCTAGCCAGGCTAACCACATCAGGATGCTCTGGGTTCAAGCAAGAAACCTTGCCTCGGTGAATATAATGGAGAATAAGAAATGAGAAATACTCCTTGATGGCGGTTTCCAGCTTCCACACACGTGCCCCTCCCCCACAGGCAAACACGCATACACACGCACACACACTCACATGCCTGCCGCACACATACACATGAGGGGGAAGAAGTTGTGATTTTTATGTGTCTTCATGATGCTGGTGGCTGACACTCATTGTGTGCCTTTTGTATTCCTGCTCCACACACCGAGTTCTGCTTTAGATGAGGCCATATTTGTGGGAACTTCACCCTTCCTGATCACAGCACCCCACAAGGTCATCCTGTGTTCACTCTGTTTTATAACTAAAGTGTTAGAGGCTCAGAAAGGGTCTGTGCCCAGTCAAGGTCACTGACGTAGAAGCATAGAGGGACAGCTGAGATAGGAACTTGGATCTTCCTGGCTCTGTCTGTAATAGAGCACATCCCCGTGTGCCCACTTTCCATTGTCATGTGATGTGTGCAGCATAGAAATCTCTCCTTCGTGTATTTAGAGACTTGGGAACCAAGGGTCCGGCTGCCTTTTGGGATAATGTGTACCTTCTGCTCCATTGGAAGATTCTCAGGGTGGCCCTCGTGATGGTCAGGGCCGGGGTGTCTTCGCAGGGTGACATAGCACAGCACCTAGCCCCCCTCAGGCCAGCGAGGCTGCTGTGTGCAGACCTCCTCTTCAGGCTCCTTTCCTGACATGGGTGGTTGGTGTCCCTGCTACTTTCCGTCAGGTATGGTGTGGCGGTCCAGGACTTTGCGGGCAGCTGGAGGAGTGGGCTGGCTTTCCTGGCTGTCATCAAAGCCATTGATCCCAGCCTGGTGGACATGAAGCAGGCTCTGGAAGATTCCACCCGGGAGAATCTGGAAAAGGCCTTCAGCATTGCACATGATGCCTTGCACATTCCCAGGCTCCTTGAGCCGGAAGGTACAGTGACCTCTCTGTCCTTTAATTATTATTATTACAAATGTGCCATCTGATCTTTCAGGTAGAAAACTCAGAAAATAAAAATAAAAGCCCAATGAAGAAAAAGTATTATTTCCTATGTTATAGTCTTTTTTCTGTGCATCTAATTATAATATCTTTACATAATTGATATCATTTAGGATACATACGATTTTATCTCTTTTTTCACTCATCATATGTAATATCAATACTTAGCTAGTATATTTCTATAATCTCCTGGTTATGTATTTATATTGGCTGCATAATCGTCCACCCATCGGATTTCTATATTTGAGCCATTGAGGTTACTTCAGAAGTGATCCCTTTGAGGGGTTGAAGGCATAGCTCAGTGGCAAGCGGGAGGCCATGGCTTAGATCTCCAATTCTGTATATGGAAGAAAGAAGGGAGCAAAGGAAGGAGAAAGAAAGAAAAAAGGGAGGAAGAGAAGGGAAGAAGGAAGGAGAGAGAAAGAAAAAAGGGAAGAAGAGAAGGGAAGAAGGAAGGATCATTTTTGAATACAGCATGACCGTAAACATCTTACTTACCCAACATGCCTTTGCCTGTACCTCAAGGACCAGTTCCCACCTGCAGGATAACAGAGTTAGGGGAGTACACTCCTTTCAAAGGTGTGCAGCTCTGTTTTGTCACCCTGCACTCCACATTGGGTGTTTAATTTGGGACTCCCTGCAGCAGATTCATGGTCACCAGATGTGCTTATTCATGGGCCCAGCAATGAGCTGACTGCTCACAGCGAAGGTAATCAAGGAAAGAGGGCAAAGTCCTGAGTGTGGGATCCCAGGTTCTCCATCCTCTGTCCTTCAGCCAGCTGTGGGACTTTAGCCAAAGGCATCAACCCCCTTTCTGAGCCTAAATTTCTTTAAGGGGAAAACGAAAGTCCTTGCTGATGTGTATGTTCCTTCCTCACCAGCGCCCTGTGGTCCTATGGAGAAAGCATGTGTCTTTGCTAATGCTGTGTCTCTCTCAACAGACATCATGGTTGATATGCCGGATGAACAGTCCATTGTGACGTATGTGGCCCAGTTTCTAGAACGCTTTCCAGAGTTGGAGCCTGTACGTTTCTTTTCCTTACTTTTAATTCAAAACTATGCGTTTTCACTGGGTTCCCAGGGGACACAGCAGGGGCTTGGGCTGCATCATTTTATGTGGTTGGTGCAAACAAAGTGACCTCAAGTTCCTTGCCTTATTTGAGTTTCAGAACCATCTGTGACATACATCAAGCTCTCCAATGGGACAGAAAGCCGGTCACATCTCACACATACTTGTTCCCATTCCAAACTTGATTCAGGTGACAAGTTCCCTGTCGTCCAGACTTCACTTTTATATGCCCAGTGGAACAGCCCAGTAGTTCACCAACATTTACCAAGGCTCAAAATTATAATGGAGAATGACCATTCAAAAGCATGCTTGTGGAGTTTATTTGTGTGTGTGTGTGTGTGTGTGTGCGTGTGCGTGTGCGTGTGCGTGTGTGTGTGTGTGTGTGTGTGTGTGTGTGTTTTAGGGGAGATTTTCTGGGGGGATAGCATTTTTGAGGCAGGATCTCATGTTATAGCCCCGGCTGGCCTTGAGTATGTGGCAATCCTCCTGCCTCAGCCTCCTCACTCTGGGAATACAATTATGTGCCACTGTTCCCTGGCCACTTCTTTTACTGTTTAGAATTCCAGATCATACTTGAAGATAGGTTTGGGGCAGGGACGAAGTTGTCATGGTTTTACTGAACACACACGTGTACATCTATCCCTGAGACAGTAGTAACAATAAGAATAACAACCGCAGCCTGTGGTGGAAGCCATCTTCCACCTACTGCATACCTAGCACCAGCTCAGGGAACTCAGCAAGTAACTGGACTGGACCTGGCCATAGCGCAGTGCTATGACATTGACTAGTGCTCACAAAGCTCTGGGTTTGGCCTCTAGTTATGCAAAACTTAATTAAAAAAAAACTAAGTTAAAAAATTAGGACAAAGTCAGTTGGACAGATGAGGTGCTTAGGTGATGCAGCTTTGTTCTAGCAAAGAAGAGAGTTAACATATCGGTAGATGCATTACTGTCCCCAGCAGATTTACGTGCTTGGTAGAAAAAAAAAAATACACGCGTAAAGAAATAAAGAATGTTAGGGGACAGGGACCCTCTTGCAGCTGGAGACTTTGTCTGCAGCTGTCATTCCTACAGTACTGTATAGTTCACCACTGTTATCCTCTTCTTACATATGAGAATGCCTCTGTCCAGAGAACCCTAAAGGTCTCTCCAGGGTCACACAGTCATCTAAATCAGGACTGCGGCAGACTCCGGAGCTTTGTTTCCAAAGTTTATGTTCCTGGCTCTTGTAAAAATACCACTGAGAGGGGGCTGGAGGGATAGCTCGGTGGTTAAGAGCATTGCCTGCTCTTCCAAAGGTCCTGAGTTCAATTCCCGGCAACCACATGGTGGCTCACAACCATCTGTAATGAGGTCTGGTACCCTCTTCTGGCCTGCAGACATACACACAGACAGAATATTATATACATAATAAATATAAAAAAGTACCACTGAGACTGGAGCCTTATTCTATACAGCAGAGACTCCCAGTGAGCCATGGGTTATATTACTGCCTGACCCTTATGTGTGGTTCCCACCTCTTCCAGCACCGTGATATTTTGAAGAGGAGTTTCTAGGCTGCCACTTGAAGCTCTGTGACCCTAGGCTTGTTCCTTGGCCTCTCTGACATCTGTATCAGACTCCTTCAAAAGTGGAAAGCATCACCCACATTTCAGGCTTGTGCAAAAAGTAACTACCTGTGTGAAAAACCCAATTTTGCTCAGAATGAACATTCACCAAGAGGTGGTGGCAGTAATTGCTATAGAATTCCACTTTTGGTAGCAGGATTTTCACTAGGCCTGAGCTGCTAACCCAGAGGCAGAATCAAAAACCAATTAAAACAGTGGTTTTCAACCTTCCTAAGGCTGTGACCCTTTAACACAGTTCCTCATGCTGTGGTGACCCCAACCATAAAAGTATTTCCATCACTACTTTATAACTGTAATTTTGTTACTGTCATGAATGGCAATGTAATTATTTTTGGAGATATGGGTTTGCCAAAGGGGTTGTGACCCATGGTTGAGAACCACTGAATTAAAAGTTGACAGTATGATTTAAGGTCGTGGTCAAGATTCAGCAAATCTAGAGAGACTGAGAAGGACATGATGGCTGGAGGAAGGGTCTTGGTTCACACAGAGCAGCATGTTTGAGCCTGCGGTGTGTGGGATACATTCTTTTGTGTTATGGACGTTACTTTCTTAGTCTTTAATACTTTTGTGTTTGGACTTTTTCTTTCTTTCCTTCTTCTTCTTCCCCTTCTTCTTCTTCTTCCCCTTCTTCTTCTTCTTCCTCTTCTTCTTTTTCTTCTTCTTCTTCTTCTTCTTCTTCTTCTTCTTCTTCTTCTTCTTCTTCTTCTTCTTCTTCTTCGCTTTAAATAGTCAGTAGGAGTAGGCTTTTAAAGAGAACTGTAAAATATATTTTATTATTACTGTTGTTTTGGTTGTTGTATAGTCGGCTGTGTGCATGGAGGTCTTGGCAGCTTGTGTCCTCAGACTTACATGGCAAGCACCTCTTTCCCTCTGAGAGTGCCTTCTGCCCCTCTTCAGGTCCAGGCTTCCATCTGTGATCATTTCCTAAAGAATATCTTCTGTAGTTTTTGCAGTGTAAACTGGCTGTTCTAGAGCCTTCCTTGTGCTAATTCCAACCCTGAGCCATAGGTGGGTCTACTTTTGGCGATTGTTGCCTCCCTTGTTTGTAGGCTTCATTCTCCTGCTTATTTCCTAAATTTGGTTTGCTTTCTTGGCAGAGACAATATGCAAAGTAAGAGTAGCTACTGAGAATTTCTTTTCCTGTGTTGATCTGTCTTCTGTTGTTACAACAAGATACCAGATGCTAGATAACATATAATGAAGAGAGATTTGGGGCTGGAGAGATGGCTCAGCTGATTAATGAATGCACTTGCTGCTCTTACGAAGGCCCCAAGTTTAGTTCCCAGCATCCACATGGCAACTCTCAACCATCTGCAACCAGTTCCAGGGTGGGATCTGTCGCCCTCTTCTGCCTCTGTAGGCACCTGGCACACATATGGTTCAGAAAGAGAGAGAGAGAGAGAGAGAGAGAGAGAGAGAGAGAGAGAGAGAGAGAGAGAGAGAGGCAAACATTATACACATAAAATAAAAATAAATAAAGCTGGAGAGAGATTTGACTCAGCACCTTCGAAAGAACCTCATGGGCATTATAGTCAAAGTGTGTGTGAGACAGAGAGGTCACATAGCCAAGACAGGAAGCCAGAGGGCCACTTGACTCTTCACTCTGAAAGCAGTTCCCTCTGCAATGGACTGGGGTCCTAGGAGAAGGATGTCAGTTCCTTCTGAGGTTAGAACTCCCAATCACCTTGCACTGGGCCTCATCCTTTAAAGGTCCCTCCATGCCTCCTATTGCTGCACTAGATACTGAACTTTTAACACATGAGCCCTTGGGCCTGTATTCCAACCAAGCAGGGGATATAGCCTCCTTCTGAACCCGAGATGGGAGTTGCTCAGTCTGATCATTTCAGGAACCTAGAGGCGTGTTGGTGCCAGCTCATTTCTGCCGTCTGGGTTTGCGTTCTGAGGTCAGTCCACGCTATCACGGCACTCACCAGAAGCCCAGCTATCCCTGCAGTCCCCACAGATGTCTGCCCTGCTTCCCAGTCCTGCCTGGGCTCTCACGCTGAAGATGCCCCTGGGGGGAATCAATCAGGAGACTCTGATGAGAGTTGCTGTTGGACAACTTCCAGCTTCAGACTTTCCTAGTGACCCACATGGTCAGTAGGAAGGTGATTGGTCCCTCCTTTTCTCAGACAGGCTAGCTCTCTCTCCAGCAGGGTGAAGTGGCTGAGGTGCTGCTCACTGAAGTACACTCAACACCCCATTGGGTGCATTGATAGTCTCTTTGCACCTGTCGTTTCAAAAAAAATGTATTTCATGTTTTTATTGACCTGGAATTTTTGCATCTCAGCGGGAAAACTCTTGTTAAAGTGGTTTTGTTGTTGTTTGGGTTTGTTCTACTTGAAGGTGTTCTACCTGTGATTTCATGTTATCTTGGGTTTCTTGGTAGGAAGAGTTTGTGAATCCTGACAAAGAAGCCCCCATCGAGTCCACCTTTGTCCGAATCAAAGAAAGCCCTTCTGAACAGGAGAGCCGGGTCCTCCTCCTCAGCGAGAATGGAGAGCGGGCCTACACTGTCAACCATGAGACCAGCCACCCGCCTCCTGCCAAAGTCTTCGTCTGTGACCAGCCTGAGAGCGCGAAGGGTTTCTGTCTGGGCGGCGTGCCCAGCCACAAGCTGTCAGACAGTGAGACTGAGTTTATGCACCAGATTATTGACCAAGTCCTCCAGGGGAGCCCAGGGAAGACCGGATCCAGCACCGAGCCAGCTCCAGAATCTTCCATCTTGTCCACCAGAAAAGATGGCCGGAGGTCCAACTCTTTGCCGATCAAGAAATCCGTCCACTTTGAGACTGACTTGCACAAGGATGCCTCATGTAGCAAAGACCCTTTCTACAGCTCAGACTTCCGCTTTGAGGGGAGCCCAAGGGCGGCAAAGGATCTGTCGAAGCAGGATGGTCATGTCTCATTGGCTGAGGTTGCCAAGGAAAAGAAGACAGAACAGGAAGCCAGGCCAGTGCCTGAAACTGCCTCAGACAGAAGCCCTGAAGACATTGTTGGTGTGGATGGCGTGCCCCATCATGATCAGCCTCCTCAGGACCCCTCATTCTGTAATGGCACTGTAGAAACTCAAGCTAGCCAAGGTGAGAAAGGCCCTTCTCCTCCATCCCCTGGAGATCATACTATCCTGGCCAACTCCACTGAACTCAAGGTTCAGCTGCTGACTGTCGAGCCTATGGATAAAGATGACTATTTTGAAGGCATCCCACTGAAGGCTTCCAAGTTTAACAGGGACCTCGCAGATTTTGCCTCCACCAGCCAGGATTTTGGTGAGGACCCCTCACCCCCTGAGAAGACACCTGGGGAGGAAGAGGGGCTAGAGAATCACACCGAGAAACTGGGGAAAAGGAAATCAAAGTCTCCCCATGCAGAGACAGAGTCACCTGAATCCCAATCGGAGGCTGACAAGCACGAGCCTCCTTCCAAGGGCCCGGAACAAGAAGATCGAGACCATCCTTCGTCCCCAGAAGAAACGCCTGCAGATAAGAAACCCGAAGTGTATGAAAAGGCCAAGAGAAAGTCCACCCGACATCGCAACGAGGAAGAAGGCGAAGCGGAAGGCCTCACTGGGGTCGGCGGAGAAGGGCCATCCAACCCTCCAAGTACCAGTGTCAGCCTGGAAACCCTCAGGAGTCACAGCGAAGAAGGGCTGGATTTCAAGCCTTCTCCACCACTCTCAAAGATCTCTGTCATCCCCCACGACCTGTTCTATTACCCGCACTACGAGGTGCCCCTGGCTGCAGTACTGGAGGCTTATGCGGAAGGTGGGGAGGATTTGAAAAGCGAAGATCTAGGGGAACCAGAAGAGGGCTATCTCCAGGACTCCAGGGAGGAGGAGGAGGAGGAGGCCCACAGCTCCCAAAGCAGCTGCAGCTTCTCCTCGCCTGTTGACAACAGCCACCCCAGCACCGGTGACCAGGCGCCCCATGTTGATGGGACTTCTGAGGGGCCCACATCAACCTCAAGACCTGGTTCTCCACCATCTCATGAGGACTACCAACAGAGGGAAACCAAAGAGAATGGCCCCGTGGAGAGTCAGCAGGTACTTGAGATTTGGGAACTAAGAGCTTCTCCCTCTGTAAGTCTTCCCTTAGGAACCCATAAGCATAGAGTTTATTTTTCTTCCAAGAGACTAAAGCAGGTACTGCCTTGACCCCCAAATGGGAGCTACTCCTAAAATTTTGCGACCAGTCACCCCACTGATATTATTCTAATCCACACCCTATTCAAAGGGCTTCTAAGAGGACAAATGAGATTGTGTGTGAGGGCCCAGCAGAGCGGAAGGTGATCATTTAAAAACAGCCATTAACAGTGAACTATCAGGTCATCTCCTAAGGCCCCCCGGGAGACTGGGCAAACTCACATCAGTGTGATTCTTAGATGCCTTGGCTGTGTCAGGTTCTGGTGACTTGCTGTGGATCACGTAGATGGGCAGGGGCACACTCATTCTAATCTCAAGCAGCTGAGCACACACTTATCAGCCTCTTTGTGTGTGTGTGTGTGGGGGGGCTCTATCAAGGAGGGGACAAGAGGGGATAGGTGGACGGAGCCCTAGCCTGACATCCTGGGGAGCAGGGAAGGTCTTCATACAAAGAAATACCTTGCAGCCCTGGGAACCCTGGGTGGGGGGAGGTGTCTAAGCCCTGCTGGGACCTGAGCTCAGCTCCAGCAGTTCATGTGCCTGTCAGCTCAGCCGTGGTTCTCAACCTGTGGGTGGCAATCCCTCTGGGGGATCAAATAACCCTTTCACAGGGGTTGCAGAGCAGATATCCGCCAGATCAGATATTGACATTGCAATTCACAGCAGTAGCAAAATTACAGGTATGAAGTAGCAACAAAGTAATTTTATGGTTGGGAGGTCGCCACAACATGATTAACTGTGTTAAAGGCTCCCAGCCTTAGGAAGGTTGAGAACCACTCGCTCAGCCCTTTGAAGGAAGCATGACCAGCGTCATGGCAACGTGAGGGAAGAGAGGTGTGCCACGCTACCTAGAGCGGTGCACACATGGCGCCTGATGTGGAGGTAGCCCTGCAAAGGGTTCCTCAGAGGAGATTCCTCAGACCCAGAGAGGCTGGAGAGTGTGGGAAAGCTACGCGGTGGGGGACATTCCCGGAGTGCCAGAATCAACCTAGGAATGGAACCAGCTTATTCCAGATCAGCTCCGTCTGTCTTCATCTTTTCCTTCGTGTTTCACCTCTTACCTTTCCCAGTTAGTCCTGAGTGGCCCACACGGGAGCCCCTAGACCCCAAGTGTCATCTCATTTCCCCCCACCCCCACCTCCTTAGTATGACCTTTGACACACTTTCCTCTCCCACCTGACTGTCCACCCCTCTCTGCCTTCCTTCCAGCAAAGCCAGCTTCTCCTGGTTTTGCCAGACACCCATGCCCTGCGTGGTCCTTCCCCTCCCAGCATTTAGCAAGTGGCCATTCACCCTTCAGAGCTCTATACCATGGTCTCCTCCTCCCAGTTCCTGCCATAGCAGAGATCTTGTTGCCTTAGCTGGGGCCAACCACACTCTGGCAGTTCTTTCCTGTTTCCATGGTTTTGGTTTTGGGTTTTGTTTTTGAGGTATGTTTGTTTATTTGTTTGTTTTGGTCTTTTGAGACAGGGGTTCTCTGTGTAACAGCCCTGGCTGTCCTGGAACTCACTCTGTAGTCCAGGATGGCTTCAAACTCACAGAGATCCACCTGCTTCTGAGTGCTGGGATTAAAGGTGTGCACCTCCATCACTGGGCTGGGATTTTTGTTGTTGTTGTTTTTTCATCCCAAGAGTAAGTATCATCTGTTATTCATCCTTGGACTCTAGAGACCAGTGTGGTGCCTGACAAGTCTGTCAAATGCAGGGGTCAAGCGCATATCGCTTTGGGAATGAAACAGGAAGATAAACGGGGAGACATAGCTGGGCTCATGAGTGGTACTGGGAGGTCTGAGAAAGCCTTACACTCCGGGGGGCATGGCTCCAGGCAAGGGAGTGTGGGGAGCCCCCAGAGATGCTTAGGATTGAGATGGCACACTGCCATTATCAGAGCTTTCTGTGGTCCAGTTTGCCAATCCAGGACAGTGGGGAGAATTCTCAGTCCTCAAGCACAAATGGCTGTTTGGGACAGGGCAGGGAGCAATGTGCTCCACAGCTGTAAGGCAGATGAAGAAGAGGGCCGGTGGGTGGTTCCAGAGGTGCCAGACACAGCTGTCTCCTTCCCCTGGTGCTGAGAGCCACTCCGTCCACACACTTCTTCACACGTGGGCTGCCAGTTCTGCCCAGCAGTGCCTCCTGTGGAAAACTGACAGAAGCCGGCAGGGCTGGACGTGGCCTTCAGTGAGATCTGATGTCTAAGCTGGAGATGTGCAGGACAACTGGAATAATTCTCCAGGTTGCTCGGGGACAAAAAAACTATGAAGGGCAAGGCAGTGAACATGCAAATCGCATCCTGGCCTTGGCCTTGGGCGAGCAGCCTATGGAAATCCAAATCCGGCCCTTCATTCTTTGTTTTACTGGTTGTGACAGGCTCTCAGGTACCTCAGGCTAGCCTCAAACTAACTCTGTGGCCAAAAATGACCTTGAATGTCTGACCCTCCTGCTCTCACCTCTGAGTACCATTCTGCCGGGCTTATGCCTGGGAACAGAACCCAGGGCTTCTTTCTTGCTCGTCAAGTTCTCCACTAACACAGCCACATCCTCAGTGCCTGGCCCTTCATTTTTATAGGCTTTCTGCCCGTAGTTCCCGAAATCAGATTGAGTGCCTGCTGTGTGCAGAGTGTTCGATGGGTAGTAAGGGTGGTTGGGGCAGCCCTGGGTTGGAACCATGGTTGTTCAGAATATTTAGAATCTCATCCTGCCCCACATCTTACTGATGGCCAGTTGGGGAGCTTAGGGGGATAGCTGCTCAGGCTTCCGTCCTGCATCCAGAAGGAGCGATATTGACACCACCATGGCTCTGATGCATAGCCTTGCTTGCCTGCTGCTTCCAACCCCATTTGGCACTTTGGTCCCCAAGCGCAGCCCCTACTTCACCCTGGGGATGTACAAAGTCCGTGGGGTGGAGAGCCCCAAGTCTGTCTCCTACCAGAAAAGGAAAGGCTGTCTGAGCAAGCCAAAGACTGGGGAAATGGCAAGTTTGTCTTGTTCTGATCGTTTGAAAAAAATAATAATAGCATAAACAAGATCCTTTCATTGTTTCCCCTCTAGGAAAAGTCTCTGCTCAGCCGTGAAGGATGCTCGTCTCGTGTGGCTAAGCGCACTCTCAGTTCCTACCTTTGTTCAGGGTAGCCAAGCTGGCCTCTAAATCCCTCATCTGGCCCCTGCTGAGCAGGCTCTCCCTGCTTTTCCCCACACTTCTAGATTTCAGTGGGGGCATGGCTGATGGCCATCAGGTGCTCAGTGTGACATCAGCCAGATAGGCCCCTTCCCAGTAAGGACTAGATGTGGCCCTGTGGTCCTCCCACCAAAGGCACAATGTCAGTGTCCTCCCACAGACTCTGCTTTTACACTTGGCCTGCTGGCTCAAGTTCAGCCATTGCCTGCTGTAAGGGCTAGCCCTCTAAAGGATGTGCTGCAGAGGGAAGAGGGTGGTGGTGACTGTACCCGTCTGAAAGCTGGGAGGGTGAGGGTCAAAGAGAGACAGTCAGTGGCTTAAGGTCAAGGAGCTGAGTTGGGCAGGGTTTCATATCACTGAGCTGCTTGGCTCCAAAACTTGCTGCTTTTCCTCCATCGATTCTCAGCCTTGGATCTCTGCACAAGGAGCAGGAATGGGTTGGGCTTCTCTCCTGGGCCATCCACGTCGGAAGGAATTCCTAAGAACTGGAAGGGACACTGGCTGGCTTAGAGTAGAGCCGGGGTAATGATGTCATCTGCTTCAGTGGGAAGTCTGACCTGTATTTTGGTTATTTTGTATTCTAGCCCCAAGAACCTCCAAACCCAGAACTCCCTGAAAAGCCGTTAGAAGAAAAGTTAATGGAAGCCTCAACTAGCAGTAAAAAGAAAGAAAAAAGGAAACATGTGGACCAAGTAGAAAGCTCATTATTTATAGCCCCTGGGACTGTCCGCTCCTCAGACGACCTTGAAGAAAACCCCTGTGAACACAAGGTCCCTTCCAGGTACGTCACTGAGATCTTCTCACTGGGAAACTGAGATAGGGGCTTGCTCTGTTAGGGTGAGCGAGTGTCTTGAATAGACAGTGCATCCGTGGGGGATGCAAGCAAAGCCCAAGCCATGGATATTGGCTGAGGAGAACAGACAAGGAAGTGTCCGTGTCCCTGGGCGTGACGTCGGGTTGGCCACGCACCCTACACAGAGTCTGGCCACTGATCGCAGAATAGGTAGCAGTTACCTCCCAGTTCCTGCACCCCAGCGCACTCAGGCACATTGTGGTTAAGGATGCTGTGGTGTGGGTAGACCTCGTTAGCCCAGAGGACTCCGCAGCAGCTACATTGTAACAGGTAGCACTGAGGTGAGCTTACATGAGGGCGTCCTGGAGCCTCCATTGCTGGCCCCAGGGTAAACAGAACTTCTGGGAGGTTGTCACCTGGCTTGAGGTTACAGTGTGGAACCATTCTCTGGGTGCCTCTCTACTATGCATGCCTTTCTGGTCACAACTCAGTTGGACTCCCTGCATAGCTTTCCTCTGGCCTAGGAACACACAGGACCCCCTAATCATTCATGTGTGTATTCCACACCTCTGGTCCTGGCCTTCTACCCTCCATTGGGTTCATACTTTGCTTTAGGCTCCTTCAAACTGGAGGATTGTCGCTCTGCATTCAACTCTGTTCCCTGGATCGCTCCAGCTCAGCCTCTGGGGCCAACTCCATTACACCTCCTCCAAGCAGATGTCCTGGGATTCTTATGGGTTATTTTTGATACACTCATATCGTTCCTCCTGTGTGGGTTTTTTTTAATAGAACATTCATCTCTTTATAATTTTAGGACGCACTGGGGATTGAACTCACAGCCTCATATGTGCTAGGCGAGTGAGCTAGGCTACCACAGAACTACTTCCCCAGCCCTCTTGGCTTTTTGTTTGAGGAAGTGTCTAAGTTGCCTAGGCTGGCTTTGAACTCACTCTCTAGCCCAGGCAAAGGCAAGGTGTGGAGTTCACTTTAGCATGGCCCTGACTTGCAGCAGGCACTCAATTCTTTGGATAGATGAATGTATGAATGGCTGGCTGTGCTTCCGCCTGTGTTCTGAAGGTCAGGAGATGGATCCTCAGCCCCTGGTTCCTGGGAGAGTGAAGAGCAGTGCTCACACTCCTTACAAGGCTCACATGGATGGGCTATAATGTAAAAATACCTGGGAGAAAGCATGCTAAAGCAGAGCGGAGAGACCGTTCCCTCCCACCAGGAATGCGTTGTTGAGTTAGGAAGCATTCCCCACACATGAGGGCAAGAAGGGACTCTACAGCACCCAGCACTGCACCATGGAGGATCTGGTTACCCTGGACACTGCTGTGATCTGGATCCCTGGGTCCCTTTTGACTCTGAGATCGCATTTTGCTTCAGGCCTGTGCTATGGTGGCAGTGAGGAATCTGTGGTACTACCAAGGCTGACTTGCAGGGTCTTTCTGAGATTATATTCTCCGGCCCAGGGCCAGGCTCCTGGAAGCCATGTAGTGAGAAGTTGCTGAAAGGAAACTGAGATGACATTGTCGTCAGGTGTATAGCACCGACCAGACACCTAGTTCGGCTTGGCTGCAAGCCAGGACCCAAGGCATCCTGAAGCAGACGGCATGATCCATCATTCCACAGAGGAAGAACACTGAACAGGGATGTCAGTTCCCAGCTAGCATCGACAGCTCTCAGCCAGGAGCCACAGTTGATGGCCCAGGATTCTTCTGCCCCTCTTTGTGGGTGTCAGCTCTGCTCAGAAGACCAAGGGACATTCCACGTTGGCCTCAAAGATTTGGGCATAAAGTCAGTCTCCTTCTGTAGGAGAGGAAAAAATAGCGGTATTCCCTAGGACTGTATTGGCAGAAAGTAGCCACATAGCAAGGAACACCACATTGCAAGAGAAAGTCCAGCCTTTGGGCCTTGGGCCCAGCCCTGCCCTTAACCTAGAGGGGACTGCAGGTGAAACCCCAAACCTCAAGATGTTTGTATATAAAGACCCCAGTCCTGGCCCAGATCCTAGAAATTTTTTAGAAATATGTGGTCTGCTTTCTATTAAAAACCCTGATTTGCATTTGGGTATAGATGAAGGCCCAGTGTCTGCGGCCACACTTGGCTATGTGCTTCAACAGTATGGATGCGTAGGTACAAGCTGTCTCTGGGTCTGAAGTCACAACTGTGCTTCCAGCTGGAGTAACTGTGTGACTGGGCCCCTTGTGCTTTGGGCGGTACCCATTCACCACGTGTTTTTGCTTTTCAGGAATAGCCACAGTGACTCCAGCATTTACATTCGGCGACATGCTAATAGGTCTTTGGAATTGGTTAGTATGTGAATTTCTTCTTCTCTATGGCCCCTGCTAATCGGTACCTATCGGCCCATCCTCCCTCTCCCAGCCCTGAGCTTTGGGATTACTGACCTGCACCAACCTTACACTGGGATAGAAGACAGACACACTTCAAACCATGTTAAGCACAGTCCAGTTGGATATCCAGTTGGGGCAAGAAGGGATGTAAATAAAGCGTTGATTTCAAAGCCCAAAGGCCTCTTTGTCATAAAAAAAAAAAAAGACACTTCCCCAACTCTGCACCCACACCTAGAAAGATCACAGTCAAACTAAGGATCACAGTCAAACTAAGGGTTCCCCGTCACTAGAGGATCCTTCAGGTGCTGAGACCTGCAGTGGCTCTTACTTCAGAGCCTGTCTAGGAGGTGGGTGGGTCTCTTCCCAGTCACCCTTGCAGGGAGGCAAGGGCGGGGGAGGGAGGCAGGGCGGTCTCTCTTGTTTGGCAATTTGATTTTTGAAACTAGATGTCTGCAGTATCGAGAAAAGTGTGGCACGGTCGGCTTTGTAAGCTTAAACTCACCTTGTTTTCTGTTTCAGAGATTTCATCTTTACTAATTGGGTTGCGGGGTTTTGTTTATAAATTTCACTGTAGGACCATTTTAGCTATGTTCAATTGAGGAACGCAGCCGATCTGGATGAGCGGAGAAACAGAGTGTTAAACAGGTTGGTGACCTCATTCCATAAGTTTGTGGGATTTAAATATATAAATACGACATACATATATGTCTTTATTTAGATACGTGTATATATCTATACATATGTGTGTGGTGTGTGTATATATATGTATGTGTGTGTGTGTGTGTGTGTGTGTGTGTGTGTGTGTGTGTGTGTATATATGGAGAGAGAGAGAAAGGGAGGGGGGTATACATTCGTGTGTATGTCCGTGTGTTTGTGTCCTACCTCCTACAGGCCATTTTTTTCTTTTTTTTTCTTTCTTTCTTTTTTTTTTTTTAAACTATGGTTTCTTTATCATGCTGTTAGCTATTTGGGAAAATAGCTCTTCCAAATGAAATGAATGTAAATTGATGGGGGAAAGGTTCAATCTTGAGTCCGGACAGAGTGGCAGAACAGCTCAGAGTGTGTGAGTGAGAAGATGGGTCTGGGTTCTGAGTCTGCACCTGTGCCGGAGTACGTTAGCGGTAGAGTCCAGTCGGTCGCCTGGGTAGAGCTGTAGGGTCCCAATGCTACAGCACCTGACCCTGTGTCCCTTCTGTCCCACTGCAGGTACAATTCCCAGAAGCTCACTGAGCTGATTTTACAGTTTTACGGCATCAGAGCAGACATGAAGCGGGAATACAAACATGCCAGGCTGTCTATGAAAGTATTTGTTACTGGTGGAGAGCTAGATTGTCTAGTTGATTGTTCTCGAGTTACCGTAAACCAGTCCGTCTAGAACCCCGGAGATGGGTTTAGCGTATCATACTTTGTCATATTGCCCCGTTCCTGTGGGTTTGCATGGGCTTGGAAGGATTTAGATGGTGGGGGTTGGTAGTCTCTACCCAACACCCCGGGAACGGGGCCCTTAGACCTCCACTCTTTTGGCTCCTAGAAAGCAAATACAAGCAAGATACCCTGCTTTCTTCCCAGGCCTAAAATAGAAATGTTAATCTCAGTTTTCTGCCAAAGGAAGCCTTCAGCTGGGGAGAGAGTGCTTTTAGCTTTGGTCAGGTAGGGCTCTGAAAAGAAACAAGAACTTGATATGTGCAGGAGTTTTTCCTACCTCCAGCTAGGAAATATAAACAAATATAGTTCATATTTTCCCCACAGACAACTTTAAGCCAGAGAAATTGTGCCCAGTGTCTGTTATTCCGGCGTAAATCCCACTATGGCAGATGTCACAGACTAACCCGTCATTGTCGGGAGACGGCGGAGGCTTCGCATAGCCCCCATCCAAGGCCTGGAAATGGCCCCGAGAACCTCATGTTTCAGGCTTCTGTGTATCGGTCTCCCACCCACCCATACTACCTTTTCCCTGGTACATTTGGGTCTGAGATTTGGTTTTTACCACCACCCAAACTCTCCTGCTAGCACCCTGTTTGTTACCTGCCAGGCAAAAGCCAAATGGCATGTTAAACACTGCCTCCCACCACATAAAAGAAAGGTAACTTTAACCCCAAATCAAAGCTAGCAGTTCCTCTGAAGGTAGTATTTCAGACTAAACTTGGGGTGACCTTGTTTCTGGTGGCTGCTTTGAAATCATCTAAGTTCCTTTATTACCTGAGGTATAGCTGAGAGCTGGGAGTCCTACCTCTTCCTTCTGAGGTGTCCCAGGAGATGTGACTTAGGAGCAGCTCTATTACAGAGTCATTGTGTGACCTGTGACAACTGCCACCCCATGACTGTAACTGTGGCCATCTGTGAAATGGGCCCGGACAGCTCCTTCCTTTAAGGGTCATGGATACAGATGGGTTCTGTGTGGGTGTTCCAAGGACTTCCTGGGCGGAAGTATATACACTGATGGGAACCTTCTGATGTATCATAGGAACCGTTATCTTCAGGGTGGCAGTGGGGTTGAGGTTCAGGATGTGGTCCTCCTAGGGACCTCACCGGTGACCATCCTGTCCCCTGTCTGTCCCTCTGCAGGACTGGCACCAACTCCTCCGGAGAAGCCGTGCCCCTGGGGAGCCAGAGCCCACCCAACGACTCCCTGACACAGTTCGTACAGCAGCCCGACGTGGTCTATTTCATTCTTTTCCTGTGGCTCCTGGTCTATTGCTTGCTGCTCTTCCCCCAGCTTGATGTCAGCCGGCTCTGAAGCGTGTGTCTGGAGAATAAAAAGACAGGACCCTAACCAGGGTGGAGTTTGCCTCCTGCATTTTAACTGTCTGTTCGGGGTCGAGCCACTTCTACAGAGATGGAAGACCTCAGAGGGGGCACAGGCCCCACCTCCTGTTGCTGTCTGATTTCAGTCTCTGCCCAGTTTCCCCTCGGTTCTCTAAGACCTGAGAGCATGCTTCCCTCCCTGACTGTGTGCTCCGAGCTCAGGTTGGAGACTAGGTCTGTGAACAGGATTCCTCCTTATGTGCCTTGTTTGATCGATGCGCGTCCTTACTAAGGTGTGCCCCAAACCTGGGGCTTAGCGTGTGAACATGTAGGTTTTCAAGCTCCTGGAGGAGCTTGAGTTAACTTACTTTTATCTCAGGGGAGGGTCTGCCTGATGTCAAGAAAGAACAGAGTCCGTACTAGGAAGGAAGGTACCTTGTTCTCCTCGTGTGAGTGATTGAGTGAAGATGCCGTGGCTCCCGTGAACCTCTCCCAGCCTGACGACCTGTTGTGTTCTTTGGCACACACCTGCCTGCTCCCCAGAAATTACACCTGGGCATTGGCAGACTCCAAAGAAGAGGGGTACTCTGCCAGCTTGGTTGTGAGCCACGGCACATTCTTTCACCTTGGTGTTCTTGGAGGGTTGTGTGTTTAATTCACTTTCGCGTTGATTGGATTGAGGTGGAGCTGTACTTTGCAAGCCTTCTCCAGCAGTAGGACCTCCCGGCAGATGAAAGAGAAGGAATCAGTCTAGATTTGCTTTAAAAGCAGGACGCTGGCTGACTCGGATAGCCCTGAGACTTCCTCCCATCCTACTGAGTTTTCTGTACAGAATCTGAAGTCCTTCTGGGGCTGCATGCAGAGCCCCAGCGTGCTGGAAGTGCCAGGGTCAGAATAAACTCCCGTGGTGGAGCTGGAAGAGTTTCTGCAGGTTTCTGGACTCAGGATGCACACCTCGGCACCAGCATCTTTTGCAGTCAGCCATAACAGAGACCTTGAAAAGACTTTGTGGGGAGCACCAGGGTGTAGGTCAGGGCAGGCATGTTGTGAAAGGAGTGGCTTCTTTCCTCATCCCCCTTTTGTCCTCAGTCCCCGCCCCAGCATCCTCTTGCCCTCTTCTCTGTGCAAAGGCTCAGGTCTGGGAAGACTTTTGGTCCCTCCTCCCCTTGTCATCCCTCTCTAAAAAAGCACATGCTACACAGCCCTTATAAAACTGTCAACTGAGCCGGGCAGTGGTGGCGCACACCTTTAATCCCAGCACTTGGGAGACAGAAGCAGGTGGATCTCCGAGTCTGAGGCCAGCCAGCGCTATGCAGACAAACCCTGTCTCGAGAAACCAGAAAGAAAAAAATAAATAAAAACCATAAACTGTTAGTCAGGAGGAGGCCTTAGGGAACATCTTATTTAGCTGAACTCGGAGAAGCAAAGCAGGCTGCCCGAGGTCACACAGCCCACCAAAACAGACTGGCCATGAGCTCGCAGACCACATGACCTCCAGTCTAGAACCGTCGCTCAAGAAACTAAGTAAAATGTTCTCATTCAAACAAAGCCATCATTTTTCGACCTTTTATTTAACCTTCAAGCTTATCCTTAGGTCCTTCTAGAATGTTCTTGGCAGCTGCAAAGGCTTATGCGCTGCTCATTTCTCTTGTTGCTGTGACAGAAGAAGTGACAGAAAACAACTGAAGAAGGGGGTTTGGAGCTCACGGTTCCAGGGTCACCGTCCATGATAAAGGGGGTCACAGCAGCAGGACTGTGAGCTGGCGCATCACACTGCTCAGTCAGGAAGCAGAGAGACACGAACGCTGGTACCTGCTCACTTTCTCCTTTTCGTCAGCCCAGGACCCCCAGCCCATGGCATGGTGCTGCCCACACTCAGGGTGGGCTGTGTCTCTTTAGTTGAGACCTTCTGGAAAGACCTCTAGCGTCACATCCAGAGGTGTGTTCCCATGGTGATACTAAATGCTATCAAATCCACAATGAAGATGGAATCACATCTTGCCTTTGACATGTGTGCAGTGTTCTTAGCCCGGGAGTCATTCTCTTTAAGCAAGCCAAAGACTTGCTTGTTTTTAAATACAATTTAAAATAATTCATGTAGCACATTGAGTCAGGACAGCCAGAAACCTGGCCTCTCAACCATTTTGATTGGCATCTGCCTCCCCTCCCAGAAAGAACTGAGGCCTTCCAAGGGGGAAAGCTTTTGTGAGCTTGGAGCAATTCCAGGTTGAAGGCCTGAAGCTCCCTAGAAAGAGAACTACTTAAAGAGCTCCCTGGTCCTACTGGAGGTTCAAAAGTACAGATGATAAAGGTGCTGTGTGAGATGTTTTATGTCTTCGCGCATAGCAGTTCTCTCCCAGATGAGGTACCAAAGAAGAGCTGGCCCAGATGTGAATCATGTGTTTTATGGGACTAGACCAGGCTCAGAAGTCTGCACGCTGCTTCTCTCGCCTTCTACAGTGCTAACAGCCTTTAAAATGTCTTCAGGTAAGATGCCCAAGAATCACTGGGTTCAGGCTGGCAGGAAGTCGGCTTTACTTTAAAGGGAAAAGCAATCGCATGGAGTGTAGGGGTGAATAGAAGAGGTGACTGTGGGAAGCTGCTGGGCAGGCCATCCAATCCCTTGACATTTTAAAAAGATTTACTTTAAAGTGTGTGTGTGTGTGTGTGTGCGCATAAGTACAAGTACCATGGAGGCCCTAAGACGGCATCAGATCCCCTGTGTGGGTACTAAGAACTGAGGCAGGGTCCTCTGTAAGCGCAGCATGCACCCATCACCACGGAGTCATGTTTTCAGCCTTGCTTAGCATCTGTTAAATGAGAAAATGCTGTAGGTTTGAAATGAGGATAGCTGCCCCTGAGGCTTGCTTGTGGCAGTAGTCCCTTTAGTCACTTTAAGCTGTTCTTCTCTGTGCTCCTATGTGACATGCAGCAGGCTTGCTAATACCTTAGATGTGAATTTCCCTGTCACCAGTACCATACGAGGTTTCCTCAATGTAGTTATATCACGTGATAGATGCATCCCTAGTTCAATAAAATACTGTCTTGGGTATGTGGGGACTGCACTTCTGAGCTAAGTTGTGGGTAGTGGTTACATATCCTTGCTTGTTATCTTCCTTCCCTCTTCCCCCCCTTTCTTCCTTTTCCTTCTGTGTCCCGTCCCCTTCCCCCTCCATTCTTCACTAACTTCTTGAAAAATGGAGCTTGAGAAATAAATGTAAATATTTTTAGATTCCCCCCCCCATGACTTCAAATGTCTGTCTTCTGCCCTTACCATGTGGCTGGACATAGATCAGCAGGTGGAAATGTTGCCCTCACTACTCCTTGCCAATGACATTATTAAAATTTCTGATGCCATTCCTATCCCCATGCCTTTATGCATGACGTGAACCTTCCCCATTCCTGGAGATAACACCAGTCTCTTCTCGGGGACCTGACCTGATGCTGTCGTGCCTTTGCTGTGGTACCTATTTCCTCACGGAAGTTCTCTTGCAGTTGCTTGCTTGCTTTCTGAATCCCTGGCTGGTCCAGGGTTGGACCTCCCTGGCTCATCTAATATTTGTATCTATTTTAAATCCCTCACCTCTGTATGTGTCTGCTTTCCACCTTCTCTTTCCAACACGAATGTTTTATTTTTTTAACTTCTGAAAGCCTCCTTTCTGTTCTCTGGGTTTTGCCACATAACACCTTGTTCTTGGTTCAGGGGTCCGGGTCTTCTCTGTGGGTGATACAAGTCTTGGGGTCATTGTCTACTCTCAGAATTGCCTTCGTTTTCTCTAAGTCTCATTTCTCTCGGTTGGGCTCAGTCTCCACCTTTCGCATTACGAATAAATACCTGTGTCTATTCATCTTTAAAGGTGATGCATCCAGGAGCTGGCAGGAAGCTCCAATGACCATCTGGTAAGACTAGTGTCCCCTAGTGGTCTGGCTCACCTCTGAAGCGCTTAGCATATCAATGGGTGCGTGTGTCTCCTGGAGCTTTTGCCATGTGCTTACAGATCTTCCCACCGCTCCTGCATGGAAAAGAGGGACACGCACAGGGCTGCTGATAGCCCGTGCAGTGCACTTGTGCAGTGAGTGCGGTAATCCTGCCCCCTCTGGTCAGAAGCCACCCACCATGCATGCTTGGTTTAACTGGCAGAGGTTGGCTATTTTCTTTTCCTCTGAGCAGATCAGTCCTCAACTAGGACAGAGACTGGGTTTTAACTCCCAGATGCTCCCTTGGCCAGGTGCATAATCCATAGGGTGGAACCCAGAGACCCCTGAGAACTGAGTCCCGGCCTTGAAGAAGTCTGTCTCAGTAATCACCATGTCACCTCCTGAAGTTGCTCCTGCCTTGCTTAGTCTTGTGTGCCTAGGTTGCACTTTTCTTGTTCTCTATTAGAAGGAGGCAAAGCCTTCGTCTGGCTGCATGGGCCGGGCAGGGGGCCCAAGAATTAGCACCATGTCTTACCCCACCTTCACCGTTCCGATTCACAAGCCCTTCTTAGGTGCCAAAGTGCTGCCCCTGCAGGTACGTGTTGTGAGGACCTTTCCCTGCTTCCTTCTTAGTGGCCTCTGCTTCAGCTCTGAATGGATGGTGTCTGTGGCCTTCTGTCTACCCTTTCCTGTCCATGGCTATGGAACTTTCTTTCCTTCACATTTATTCTGACTGGCAAAATAAGTGTGCACCTATGTTCTGTACACTTAGTTTCACTGCTGTTTGGTTTTGTATTTTGAGACATAGTCTTGCTAAATAACCCAGGCTGGGCTCCTTCCCCGTTCTCCGAAGTGCTAGGTTACAGGCATACACTACCCTGCTCAGCTTCAGTGTGCCATCTTGATCCATAAATGCCTTTGGGTTTTCTTGATAGTGGGTTAGGTAGCTCATTGTCCTGCTAAATTCAGTGTCCTGGGTGAATCTTCTGAAGCTATAAGACAGCACGGGTGGGAGAGCATCAGGCAGCACAAGAAAGCCCTGTTTGAAGCATTCCTCCTTCTTCTTCCTTTCTAGTTTTGCCACCTGCTCCCACGGAACACTTAGATCTCCAAAATCCTCACAAGATGCAGTCTGTGTGGTCACCTGATTTCTACCCTTGCTATACCTACCACCCCACCCTTAACTCCCATGCCGGGAACAGGTTGTCCACACTGGCCTTTGCCAGACAGCAGACAAGGTTCTCTACTAGTTATGTTTGGAGTTTGGGCAGGATTTCCCCCTCAAAGCTGTGGTTTTCCTTAGCTGTTGGTGACAAAGTCTTGAGGCTGCTGGACAGATGTGACTTTAGTGGAGAAATGTACTCCAACACTCTCTCTGCCCCAGGACCTGTGTTTGTCCACTCCATGGCTCAGCCCGTTCAGCAATGTTCACCTGCACTGTAAACAGTGGCATTGAGAAGGCAAGGATTCTTTTCTTTTTAAAGATTTATCTATTTATTATGTATACAGTATTCTGCACGCATATATCCCTATAGGTCAGAAGAGGGCACCATATCTCATTATAGATGGTTGTGAGCCACCATGTGGTTGCTGGGAATTGAACTCAGGATCTCTGGAAGAACAGCCAGTGAATGCTCTTAACCTCTGAGCCATCTCTCCAGCCCCAGAAGGCAAGAATTCTCTAAGTCACAATTTCTTTGGTGGCTTTGGGAACCATGTGAAGGCTCAATGTCTTCTTTAGAGATGAAGCTGAGGTGGAGGTTCATCTGAGTCTGCAACCCCAGTCCAGGCAGTACAGTAAGGTGGTGCTGAAAACAAAAGGCAAACAAACAAAACCTGAAGAAAGCAAAACTGAGAACATACAGCCTCCTCGCTTTTCTAGCCGGTGGCTTTGGGATGGCCACTCCTTCCCAAGTAGGGCTTGTATAAAACTGCAGCCACTCTCGGTGAGGCTTCCGAACACCACTGGAACACATCTCACCACCAGAAGTCACCCAGTGAGTAGGGGACACCTCGGAAGCCTGGCTTCCATGGTGACACCTGTCCCTTTCTGTGAACGTCATTGTCATGATGACGTAGACTCCTCCGTGTGATTTCATCTTCTCAAACTCCAGAGGGCTGAGTGCAGTCTGAGGCCCAGCCTTCCTCTCTCTCCTGCTTAGAGACACCGTCCTTAGGGATCATCACTGATTTTCCTATCTGGACTCCAGGTGAGGCAGGTTTAACGGCCAGGGTCTGGGCCCGAGTATCCCGTGAGTCTTCTAGTCTATCCTGGAGAGGGGATGTTCTCATGAGCACATCTCGGATCTGGGTGAGTGACTGAAGACTTGGTGCTGCTGTCTCTCTCATTGTCTGAAAATTGCTGTGGAAGTTTTCCCTTACCCGTTAGCCAACGTGAGACAGAACAGCCTTGCCTGGACTGCACCTCCTCCCCGACGTTCACTTGACTATGGCTTCTGCCTGCTTCTCTGGAGTCCCACTCTGCCTCATCCTCCAGCAGCTTTTACAAGAGGAAGTGTTAAGCCATTGTCTACTTGTAAACTCACTTGACCAACTGTCCAGGAAAGTTTTTCCTTCAGGGAGGATCAAAAAGACTGGCTCCAAAGATAAGGTGGTCACAGCCTCCAGCTAATTAACGCTGACAGATTTACTGCTTAGATTCTCTGTGAGTTCAATGGCAGCCTGGTCTACAGAGTGAGTTCCAGGATTGCCAGGGTTACACACAGTGAAACCCTGTCTTGAACGTCCCCCCACCACACCAGAAAAAAAGAAAAATGAAGTGATAATCCAAGAATATTCTGATTTGGGGGCTCTAGTCTACCTGGGAGGTGTGGGTGGGATGCTCTGAGCATCCCTTCTTTACCTCATCCCTGCCCACTGTCTTCCCACCAAGTTTTTGCACATTTTGACCCAACCTGTGCATAGCTACTTAAATCTCACGAAATTCATGGTTAACCTGCAAAAGTAAATTTAACAGCAAATATATGTTTGGCTCTAGCTTGTAGCAGCAAAAACTCATTATTCCAAACCAAACCCACAGCCCCTCAGTAGCTTCAACCAGCACCGTGCCCTGCCCCCAACTACTCCCTGCCTCCACCTCCAATGCATGCTTCTTGGAGAGAGAATCCAGGCTTTTCCCTTCAAACATAAACCTAGAGAAAGAAGCATTTAGGAGAACATAGTGAAGAGTGAGGATCGAAAGCCAGCCGTAGTGGTGCACACCTATAATTCTAGCATGGAGGAGTCTGGGGCAGGAAGATTGCCAGCCTGGCTCAAGGAGCAAAATCCTATCACAAAAGAAGAAAATACAAACAACAAACAATAAAACCAAATGGGTAAAAAAAAAATCCCCACAAAATTAACTTTACAAAAGATTTTATTTGTATGTTAATGTGTGTGAATGTTTTGCTTGCATGTGTGTATTTGTACTATGTGTGCAGTGCCTATAGAGGCCAGCGTAGAGCGCTGGGTTCCCTGGAACTGGAGTTACAGATGGTTTCGAGCCACGTAGGTTGCCTGCAAGAGTGCCAAGTGCTCTGAGTCACTGAGCCGCTTCTCAAGCCTCTCAAATAAACATTTTCAAGCGTTAAAAACAGGAATGGAAGACCGTGAATTCCGTGGATAAAGTTATCATCGCCCTTTCTTACATGAGAATCATTTTTTCTTTAAGTTTGAAAGTCATGAATTTTTGTATCGTTATTTAAAAAGGAAGAAATAGAGAAACCTCATTTAAGTCGAGGCTTGTTTCATTGGTGATAGCGAATGCTTGTTTTCCCTGCACATCAAGTCTGTAGGCATGGAGACTGCAAGACTGTGTGGGGCGAGCAGCCACAGAATGCCTGTGCTCTCAAATGTCACATGACGATAGAGACAATGTCTTAAAGGAAAGTTGGGGAGTTCCCAAGCTTAAGACAGCCCTGGCCTGGGAATCACACCCTGGCTCAGCCACGCACACCCCAGATAATGCATTTACCTCTCAGGGTGGAAGGTTGGAGAACCACAAAAAAAGTCCTCTCAGGGCTTAAAGCTCCAGGCTTAGCAAGGTCTTGTTTCTTTTTATCTCTGTAAGTGGCCTATTCGCTTAATAAGTGCGCTTGTGTCAAGGAGTGAACTGCCAAAATTTAGAGCTTGCGTCAGGCTGGATGTCTGGAAAAGGTGCCTTGTGTGTGTGTGTGGGGGGGGGACCAGGGGTGGCCTGACAGTTACAAGGTTTGAAGTGGAACTTTGCAACTCTAAGTCAGAACCTCAGTGTCCCAGGGGGAGATGTCTTTGAAATTCAAGAATTTAGCTCTAGGAATAATTAGCTACTGCTTGGATCTTTCCATCCCTCCCAGCCTTTTCCTCTTACACTAGCCAAGAGAGCTGTGTACAGCATCCCTGGGGAGGGTGTGGTAGGGAGGGCGGGTTCTACAGTGAGAGGTGCCTCTGCCTTCTGCCCTTGAAACTGGACTTTACAATACTACCTGCATTATTTACTTCTGTGCTGATAATATCGGCCAAAGACAAACAGGAAAATGTTCCTCCCTCCCAAGCACTGTTGGGACAGGTTGTGAAGCCTGGAGACAGGATGGTATTCTGTCTTGAATTTTCCTTGGATGGGGATGGGTGTTTTGTTCCTTCAGGGCCTGGGATATAGTTAACAGAATTAATGTTTTCTTAATGTCATGGCAGAGAATCCCATGGCTTGTGCCTGAAAGTTGCAGAACTGTTGGGGACAAAAGCAAAGTGTTATTTTGTGGTACAAGGATTATTTTGTCTATTTAGTATGCAGAGCTATAGCTTTATGAAAACAAAGGGATCTTTGTAAAAAAAAATATGCTGTGTGAATGTGCACTCTTATTTATTGATTATTGTAAATGGAGATATAAATGAATATTTGCATAATTTATATGGGAATCCCCCTGGAGTGTTTGTTACTCGATAGTTTTCTATCATGGAACTTTGGGCCTGGTGCTATGGTGAATGACGTTGGAAAATCACATGTATTCCTAAGAACAATTTTCAAAATAAATTTCTTGAACTGATTACTTTTCTCTGATAACTTCTTTCTGTGTGTGTGTGTGTGTGTGTGTGTGTCTGTGTGTCTGTGTGTATGTGGATATGTGTGTACATATAGGTGCATGTATTTTTTCCAACCAGAAATGACACTGTCCTTCTTTTCCTAAAAGTACTTTTACCATCTGCCTTCACAGGAAACACCCTCTTACTGGGTGTGTTGGTTTGAAAGAAATTGCCCCCCAGAGGAAGTGGCACTGTCAGAAGGTATGGTTTTGTTGGAGGAAGTGTGTCACAGTGGGGCTGGACTTTGAGGTCTCCTATGCTCAAGCTTTGCTCGGTGTGGTAAATAGTTCACTTCCTGTTGCCTGCAGATCAAGATGTAAAACTCTTAGCTCATTCTCCAGCACCATGTCTGCCTGCACCCACCATGTTTCCTCCCACCATTAAGATAATGGACTAGACCTCTGAAACTGTAAGCCAGTCCCAATTAAATGTTTTCCTTTATAAGAGTTGCTGTGGTCATAGTGTCTCTTCACAGCAGTAAAAACCCTGCTCGGCTTTGACCACTTGCCTTGAGTCTTTTTGAACAAAGTCCCAAGAAGGAATGACAGCAGTGCATCATCCTCAAGTGTCTGCATGAGGCTGGCTCTCCGAGTTTGGTCAGAGGTCACAGAACTTGGATGCACAGGTTGAAAAGACAATGGTGTGATATTGGCATGTGAGCTACACGCATTCTTATTCTTTAATCACCTCAGGATTACTCATGATACTGTGACATCTGTGCTTATTTAAACAGTTATCATATTATTTGGGGAATAATGACAGAAAGCTAGTCTTCCCATGCTATGTGCAATACAGATTCAAGTGTGTGTATGTGTGTGTGTGTTCCCCAGTTGGTCCAATCCTCAGATTGGATTGACTGCTAGGCCTGCATTCCCTGACCTTTTATTTTTTTAAAAAACCTGCTTTATGATCTATAGCAGTGGTTCTCAATCTTCCTAATGCTGTGACCTTTTAATACAGGTTCTCATGTTGTGGTTATCCCCAACCATAGAATTATGTTGTTGCTACTTCATAGCTATAATTTTGCAACAGTTATGAATCATAATGTAAATATCTATGTTTGCTGATGGTCTTAGGTGAGTCAGGGTGGGGCATGAGCAGTGATAGGAGTATCCCTAGAGCTCAATGACCAGACAGTCTAGCCAGTGAACTCTGGGTTCAATGAGAGACTGTGTCCCAAATGTTATGGTGGAGAACAATAGTGGAAGACACCTGATGTCAACTTCTGGCTTTCACATTACAGGCACACACGTGCACACACACACATGTGCTACACATACACATAGAAAAAGAAAGTATTTAAAAGTATTTTCACTTCTGTCTGGAGAGACCTTCAGCCTCGATTCGTCTATTAACTGACCTGTCCTCCTAGCCCCTTTTGGATCTCTTGTGGCTGTGTCATCTCTATACCATAGTTCCCATCCTCATGGTCCAAAATGGAGACTGTATACTTAGACAGCTCATCCCTTCTCCATGCTGCAGAGTGGAGGGAGTGGCAGCTGTGAGCCACCACTGCAGGTGTCCAAGAAGGACCATACCTTGTATCTTCCTTTGTGTCTTCATCTGGGTGAAGCCATTGGCCACAGCTACCAAGGAGGAAGGAGACTGTTCTCTGGCTGGTTGTGGGGTTGGGTGAGTTACAGTGAAAGATTGGTGTGTTAATCAGTTTCCCACTGCTTTGACAAATACCCGTAAGAACAACTTCAAGGTGTGCCTCACTTACCATTCTATTGCCATAAAGACACCGTGGTCAAGGCAACTCACAGAAGAAAGAATATATTTGGAGCTCACAGTTCAGAGGGTGAGTCCATGACCATCATGGCAGGGAGCATGGCAGCATGCTGTCAGGGCACTAAAGCCGTAGCGGAGAACTTACACCCCAAATTGACCCATGAGTATGAGACAGGGAGAGCTAACTAGGAATAGTGTGGACTTTTGAAAGCTCAAAACCTCCACTCCCAGTTACATACCTCCTCCAACAGGGCCACACCTCGTAATCCTTGCCAAACAGTTCCACTGACTGAAGACCAAGCATTCCAACATAGGAGCCTATGAGGTCATTGCCATTCAAACCACCACAAGGTGAAAGATTTATTTTTACAGTCTTGGAGGCATCAGTCTCTATTTAATCTTTAAATGGCTCCATTGTGGTGACCTGAAGCAAGTCTGAGCATCATGGCCAAGATCATGTGATAGGAAGCAGTGGGTGGGGGGCAGGGCACAGACATACTCTTTAAAGGCACAGCTCCAGTGACCTGCTTCCCCCAGTGAGGTTCTACCTCCTGACATTTCCATACCTCCTAGTAATGCCACCAATGATGAACAGACCAATAAATTAACCCATTGATGAAGTCAGAGCCCTTACGATCCAACCATGTACCAAAAGCCACATATGTAATCACTATTTGTTCTGGGGACCATGCCTTCAGTTCATGAACTTTTGGGGGAATGGGTACGTCAAACATAATAAGAATTATAATTTGGACAGCAGCAAGCACCCTGGGTGGTGTGTGCCTAGTTCTAGCAGTCAGGGGTTGGGTCAGCTGTGGCAGCTGACTACCTCAGCACACAGGTGGTTGGATTTGGTGACAGAGGTCACAAGGCGGTAAAGCCTACATTCCCTCTGATGGAGCACACAAAGCATCTGGGGAGGGGAGAGAATCATGAAGGACACACCTGCCATGTGCTGGGCACTCTCCCAGGTGCCAGGCTATGAAGCACCCAACTCAATGTTCCAAACTTTTATGGTGGGCGCTGCATCGTCCCACAAGAGGCAAAGAGTAGAAGAAATAAAGAGTAGAAGAAATAAATAATAAAGGGGCAGAACTGGAGCGAAAATCTGAGGCCCCAGGAATTTCCTGGCAAATCAATGTGCTTTTGGAGCCCCTTCAGGTGGCCCCCAAACAGTGTGAAATGTGACCCTCAAGAGGTTGTGATCGT